CAACAACTAGAAGAAGAATATTTAGTTTAAGTTTTAAAAAATTTCACAAGTTTTAGATGTTTGATCCAAATGGTAAATGCTTAACTGAGTCATTGTATTTCTTTTGGATAATGATATAATTGCGATTTTGGATCAGGAAACAGCGATTTTGAAAGTTAGAAAACCTCCAAGGTCGCCTTGGATTTGACTTATTTTTGAAAGCCATTGTTGGACCAAGATTTTGTCTTTTTTTTTTGGGCTTGGGCTTTTGTCAGTTTTTTAGTTTTTAGTTAGAGTAAGCCCATCATTATAGAGTTTAGGCCTGTTTTGTGTTTATCATGTAAACCTTGATTATTTAATTTTTTGTGTCATATTAGTTATACTTATAAATTATTAGTTTCTTTTATTTTTATTCTTGAATTGTGTTTTTAACAAAGACCTATGTACCTTGAAAGTCATGTTGTTGTTAACCCCTCAATATAGTTTACCTTTGGATGTGTATTTACTGAAAACAGAGTTCACCCTATCCCACTCTTTATGTTCCTTTGTTACTGTATTAGCCAACCCTTTTTTTATATATCTTTTAAAATTTTCCCTACTTTTTTTGGGCTTGAGCCTGTTCTCTCTGTTTTTGCAAACTCCCATTTTACATTAATGAATTTCAGTGAAATAAAAATAAAAATAATAATAAAATAAAAAACAAATTGAAAAAAGAAAAAAATTAACACACAAGCCAATGATACATTAAGTTCTCAACATCATTCCAACGACTTCACAAATTTTGGTCCTCCTTTGATTTCGATTTTTCTCAGATGGTTCTTTTGTAAATCATAGAGGAAAAATGTTGAAAAGATTTGTCTCTTCATGTACCAAGATAACTTCGCCATTTCGAGTTGTTCCTTGTACCTTCAAACTAATAATGCTATTGACCAAATGTAATTAAGAAGGATGCACCACCAAAATCTTACTCCTCCAAATATACTTCTCTTCATCTTCCAAAACCCATAGTTCCATCACACCTTCGTTTTCAAGCTTGATATAGTGTAAAAGAGCTATTTTCCCACCGTGTTCTATAAGACCAGTATATATTATTCCAAAGGATATCTTTAGGTACTTGGAGCATACTATATTCTTCAGAATGAGTATAGAAAATCACAAGCACACAGTTAACCGACACACGAACCAAAGCGAGGTAATGCATACGACCATTGATAGTCAATCCTTGTCTTAAAGGAAGATGTGGTGGAGATTTGCATGATATCTTTCTCCATCGACGTGATCCCTCTCCTTCTAGTAGCAAGACCCAATGCTCTGATAGGAACGTGTACTCTTAAACTTCGTCACTGGGTCTAGAAACTATGCAAACCACTTTATACTGATCATAAACGGGATGGAACCTGATCTTTGTAAGGTTGTGCTTCATCGGTGATGTTGAATTCTTATGTGTCGGGTAAGACGACAAGTTGTGTAGTGGTAGTGTTGTATATTTGGGCAGTTGGATTATTTACCAAGCACATCAAGCCGCGAATAACGTGAGAGATGTAGTAGCCTTTGATCGCAGGGATGGTCAAATCTTGATCAGTTACATAGGAAGACATGGTAATGTCCGAGTCAGGAGACGACAATGATAGTAGTACATCTTTGAGGTGGCTGTTGTCGGAGAAGCTCAAATACATAAATAGACGCGGTGGTAATAAGGACAGCTTTATCAGGCGGTTGGTAAAGTTTCGGAAACAAATCAAGGATGACCAAAGTTTTGAGACGGATTTGAACCTCATAAGGGATTTAGCAGGCAGTCTCGTGAGAATCTCTATCACGAGATCGAAAGGAATCTCCGGTATCGGTTTGTGGCTTTGAACAAGTCTCTTCGTCTTCTTCTTCGTATTACAATCGATCTCCTCTTCATTCTTCTTCTCTAACGCTGGAGGATGACGGCTAGAAACACAGAAGAAAAGAAGAAGAAGAAGATGACATCATTTTTTTCTTCTTGGGAAAAGACCAATTCTATATTTAGGAAAATAATTAGTTGATTACTATTTATGAAATTAGAGAAGAAGATGGGATACATGATGTAAGAATTAATAACTCAGATAATATATTAACTTTGATTCCATTTTTCTAATAACTCAGATATAAATATAACATACATGTCTCAACCACGAGTTAAACAACACTATAAATAAATTATATATTAATAAGTAAATTAAACATCATATTCATAAAACATTTACCAAAATTACAGTTAAATAATATATAAAAGCTTAATCGTTTTCTAAACATGGCTACTAGATAGTCTGGATTTATGGTATATATCAATTCAATCAAAACCAATCTCCGATCCAAAAACCAAAAAAAAAATAATATTAAAGAACCTTACTTAATTTACACATCCTACAACAATTCACAAATCCAAAAATGAAAATATCATGTTATGAGCGTTATGCGTGTAACATAAGGCACATAAGCAGATGATTATGATTATGATGCACAAAAATGAAAGTTAAAACAGTTAGAATGGCAACAACCACTTTGGAAACAAATTTGCGCTCATGGAAAATAAATTTATAAAGTTCATGGTAAGGTTTAGAACTAACACTAATAAACTATTTAACATATGTTTTTAGAGGGATATTTTACGTAAACTATATGTAATTTGTACATATATTGTTCAATCCATTTAGACTTTTTTTATCTGTCGCAGCTGTGAAGGAGCCAAACCCAGCTAATATCAATGAGAGTGCATGGAATAAAATCCTTGTTTGATTGCTTGGTGAACCATTGTGATAGGTGCCACAGGATCAGGTGGTAAAAAAGCTGTTGTGGCTTCTCAAGGTGTTGTGATAGGTGAAACAGGATCTGCAAGTGGTAAGAACAAAACGGTATGTAATGTGTTTGAATCAACTGTTGAGTTTAATCTCTTTGATTGTTGGATTCTGAAGGTGGTAAGAAGAAACATGTTCCTTCTTCTGGTTTGGGGAAACCGTCGACAAGTTGAGAAAAGTTTTATTTTTATGCCAACGTAGAAGAAGATTGAGAAAATTTTTGGTTCTCAAAATGTTCATGCCAAAACAACCGAATACACAAGAAGGATTTGGAAAAGAGTTGCTTTATCTTGCTATTGCTGCTTTGCTCTGTTATTTCATTCTCCCTTTGGTTTTCATCGATTTGGATGTCTTCAGTATCCGTCAGTGGCTCGTTGCTTTGTAATGTATTTTTGTTTTTGTTAACTTATTGAATCAATATTTTTTAATTTTTTAATTATTTTGTTAATTTTTAATTGTAATTTTCTTATTTGTAAATGTTTTTGGTCCTTTTTGTTCTTCCCATAATTTGATGAGAAATAATTTTTGTTATATAATTTTCCATAGAAAAGTAAATGCAAAGAAATTATGTGTTGACCAAATATTATATATGGTGTACTTTTTTAGAAATCTTATTTTGGTTCCATTTTGTTGGTCAACGTTCAAATTAATTATTATGGAGAAATGCTTTTGCCAAATAATAATAACTTTGACTCTTTTCACATTAGTTTCAAAATGTTGCCCAAAAGAGTTTTTTTTTTCTGTCTATAAATACAATTTCTTTTTTCTATTTCATCTTTCAGTATAGAGAAATTCTGAAACAAACAATTGTCAGACTCATTGACGTAATCTTATTGTTTCACAAGTCATGGCAAAACTACTGTGTTTCGTATCTATTCATCTGCATGTTTGTTCTCTCAGGTAAAAATTCGTATATGCCTTGTATAGTTGTCTTACATTGAACTCAAAACTTAGCTTTTGAAATCGATGCGTCTAGTACTTTTAAGCATGGCTGAGGAAATCTTATGCCCCCAAAAAAATCATTAGATTATTGACCCATTTAATTGCAATATGTTTAATGTCTGATGCCATATCCCCCAACAAAACATTTAATACGATTTATTTAATGTTTTTGAAAATATTAATGCATTTTTTTTTGGCTTCTTCATTTATTTGGTATAAAAGGGATATCATATGCTATTATCATTTGCTTGATATACTTCAGAAATTTTAAGTATTAATACAATTTCTTTTTGTTATAGGCTTTGTGGCCTTTTCAAGTGCAAAGAAGTTAAAAACATGTACCTCAGTCATAAAACTTGGCCACCCATGCGATGTTGAATCATGCATAAATGAGTGTTTTCGAGTTTACAATACTGGATTTGCAACATGTCGTGGAGACAAAGTGAAAGTTTGCACTTGTGAGTACAATTGCTAAGCGTAAACATACTTTCTCATGTATGCTGTTAAACTAATGTAAGTAACTGAAGGATTTGGTCATATATATGAATAAAATAAAACTTTTGAATTTCTATCTGACTGCTGTAAAAACCGGGGTACATGTGATTGACCCTGTTTCTTATTAGAAATAATAAATGCCGTTTGAGTGAGGCTATAGTACAGCGAATAATAACTATTTTAATTTAATATGGATTAAATATAAAGTCAAAATAATAGGAATACTTGTTCAGAAATTGGATTTGCTTTAAATTTTAATATTTGAAAACAGTGTATCTTCTTCAAACAGCGTATGACTAGTTTTGAAAACAGGTGTTAAAAAAAAGAGAGACTAAAAACATGTGTTTATTAATGATTTTTCGTTTGGGAATGTGTAACAAACGTTTATTTGTACAGATTCGACTGTTGGACATTTAGTATAGTACAGTCTACTTTTCTTTGTACCAATTATTTGCCGCAATATACTGAGCATTTATTTCTAGAAGGGAAAAAATTCATTTATGTAACTAATTTTGAACAATTTCACACAGTAAAAATTAGAAAAATGAAACGTTAGAGTTTTCCAATTTTTCATATGGATTTTTTTTTTTATAAAATGGTTGGTTAAATTAATTTTTTTTTTGAAATAGTGATCTTCTTGAAAACAGAAGTTTGACAAATAGATTGTTTCGAAAACAGCAGTGTCTTTAAATCAGTTTGTTTTTGGAATTGAAACAAAAAAAAATAACTTTGTATAAATTTGACCGTTCGGAGTTTAATTTGGTTACAAAAGATATCCCTAATCCAATGGCTATGGAAGCACGACCTCAAGTGTTCATCAACCATGGTGGAAACGATCTGAGCGACTACTTCGTTAGGGAACTAGCAACTGCCTTAAGGGACCAAGGGTTTAACGTTTTCATAGGTAGCGACGAGCGAGGAGCAAGAAGAGGCATCAAATATATTTTCAGAGCGATCGAAAGCTCAGATGTCGCACTAGTGATCTTCTCTGACATGTACGCAGCGTCAGAGTGGTGTCTGCATGAGGCCGTAAGGATTTATGATCGACATAGGGAAGGGAAACTTGTGTTGGTCCCTATCTACTATAGGGTTTCAAAAGAGGATGTGAATATGTTCCAAGGAAGATTTGGGGAGTGCTTTGTGAAAACGTTGAAGACTCGTGGCATCAATGGTCATCCATTTGCTGATATTTGGAAGACAAATGTGAATCTTATATGCACTGAGCCTGGATTCACCTCTAAAGATTTTTGGTAACGATAATTGAAGTTAATGGTTTTGTATTTATCCATTGCTTTGTCATTATCAAGTAAATTTGTAGAATCTTGAATAGTGTTCTTGGTTCTGATTGCTTTGGTTTTTGTCACTTGCATTGTAGCAATATTGATGTCATTTTTATGGTGGCTATGGTTCATTGGGTTAAGAGGCGGTTACGAAGCAGAAATCTACCGAGCGATATCGATATGTTCATACCAAAACAACTGGAGGCTCAAGAAGGATTTGGAAAAGAGTTGCTTTACGTGTCTATTGCTGCTTTGCTAGCTCTGTTATTTCATAATTTCTTTGGTTTTCACTGATTTGGATGTCTTCAGTATCCGTCAGTGGTTCCTAGCTGTTCTGATTTTGTTTGTCATCAGGAAGACTTGTCGTTGGATTCTGAGCTGATGAGCTAAATGTTAATCTTTAGTTACGTAGGCAAGAGATTAACATTTCTTGTTGGTTACGTTATATGTGCGTGGTTACTGTTTTTTGTTCTCTGCTTCCTAATTTCTTTGACCTTTTCTATTAATATGAAGATTTTGGTACAACAATAATGTTTATTGAATCAAAAAATCATGAACTTGGTCTGAACCGAGAACATTATAAATCTAAATAAATTATTTGTCCCTCGGCTCGAACAAAATCATAAGTCAACATATTGGAGAGACATTCAAAACCTGATTATGAGTATCAAAATTCTAAAGGATCCAATCTTTTTCGTAAAACGTTGCGTTTTAATTCTTATTGAAACGGTGAGTTTTGCCTTTAGTTTGGTTCAGTTCAGTTTTTTTTTCCTCACACTAGTCTTAATTCAAAACTAATAAGTTCTATAATTCCCTATCGAAAAGGAATGAAGATGAAATATGTGGGTTCATTTGTACCTAAGAAAATGCAAGGAACTTACGTATAGTCACACAGTTTTTTTTTTTCCCGAAAACCGATCCGAAAGAGAACCGAATAGTCATGAAATTCGAACGGATAATGAATTCTTCTACCCGAATTATCCGAATCCGAAAAATCCAAACCAAAATCCGAATGCCTAGGCCTAGTGACTATGATCCATATATATGTACCAAATATTATTTAGAAACTGTGTAATTTTTTTAGAAATGAAGAAGAATTTAATACTTCCTGATTTTTTTCCCAGTATGTTGGTCAATAGTCAGCATTCAGATTACAAATTATGGATAAATTTTGTTGCCAAGTAATTGTTTTACTCTTTTTACATTAGTTTTAGATATGTTGCCCAAAAGAGTTGTTTTTTTCTTTCTTTTCTTTCAAATGTTTCTCTCATCAGGCATCACTATAAAACCATTCTTTCTCTATCTAGCTTTCAATATCAAAAATTGCTCGTAACAAAATATATATTAATCTTCTAATTGTTTCACAAGTCATGGCCAAACTACTCTTTTCGTATCTATTCATCTGCATGTTTGTTCTCTCAGGTAAAAATTCATATATGCTTTAATTTCATTGAACATGTTATAAGTTTAGCTTTTGAAATCGATGCGTCTAGTTCTTTTAAGCATGGTTGGGTAATATTTGGACCCCAAAAAAATAACCTAACAAAACAATTCAGTGAAAAGTAATTGAGTGTGACTATATAAGAATTAGTTAGATATATAGCTGATTAGAAATGCGATGATCAGTTAGTATATAAGTATCGTACATTACATACTTTTACTATTATTCTATAGGTTAAAATACTTTCGAACTAATCTATAAAATTTGCTCGTTCAATTACTTGATATATCTTTAAAACATATATTGTTTAATACAATTTTATTTGTTTTAAAGGCTTTTTGGCTTCTTCGAGTGCACAGGAGGTCAGAGAATGTAGGACGGTCATAGACCTAGGCAAGCAATGCGACTTTCAAACATGCCGAATGACTTGTAAACGAGTTTTCGCCGACGAATATGCGTTTGGATTGTGTCTAGGAAGCAAAGAAAAAGCTGTTTGTACTTGTTTGTACAATTGCAAAGCTTAAACATATCATGTATGTTGTTAAGCTAGAGCAAAAATCTTTAATGTTAAGTGTCTTAATCAGTTTGATCCCATGCATGTAATGTGTAACTGGAGGATATGAATAAAAAAATATTTTAAAATATTTATCTGATTGCTAATACCGGGTTTCATGTGATTGACCTGGTCTATTCTTACCGATTAATATATATTGTTAAAATTTATAAACAAATAAAATTGAGTTTTTTTTTTTTTTATCCCCAAAACCTAGACGCCGATTCCGTTGCAAATTGGATACTTTTAGTGATTTTACCGAGACCTTTCTCCTTATCTTTAGATCGGAAATTTTGGTGGGTTAGATAGACGTTTACTCTCTGCTGCTAGTGCTATATTCTGGTTCGCCTTCCAGCTTTATCCAAGTGCTAGGTCTCCTTCCTCTTTCCTCCATGAAAGTGATCTTCGAACTCTTTAATGGTAGATTTCATTTCAGGAAGATTTACAGTTTAATCCTAAGCTCTTGAGAAACTGCTTCATTATCAATTAGAGTTTGATCGGTAAGTTTTCCAATGTCAAAGTAATCGAGACCATTTGGAAACGTGTTAGATAGTTTTTTGAGATTTTAAAACCGGTTCTGACTGATCATACGAATGAGACAAATAAGTGCATGATGAAATCGGTTTTTAATTTGGACATGCTTAAACATAAAGAAACTTTATGTGTTGATGTTATGTGAATGGATGTAGTAATTAATTTAAACATTGGACATGCTTCATTATCTTGTTTTTGTTATTCGTGTAGTAATTAGCTTGGTTTTTGTGTGGTATAATTTGTCTTTCATACCAGTTTAGGGTTTGTTGTGTTCAAATTATGAATCATTCATTTCTCAGTGATATTCCAAGGATTAAAAGTTTTCAGTTTGAATTCGAGGAAAGCTTTTGTTTCACAAGCGTGATAAAGACGTTCGAGAATTTTTAGATTGAGCCTATGATTGTTTAATTTTCTTTATGTTGTATATTCACTGATCATTGTGTTTATGGTCCTATGATATATTATATAGATGGAGGTGCAAAGTCTATTAAACTTTGATTTGGATCCTGGTCCAGTTGATCAATCTATATTGGTCATCTGATTTTGGATTTTATATATTGGACATACCGGTTCTAATTTTGGATTTTATATGGTTTTCTCAAAACTTCCTCTCGATCATCTTGTTTTGTTTTGACAATAACTTTTGTTTTGTTATTTACATAGATTTCGTGAGTTGCTGTAGATGTTTATTAGTCTAGTAGCATGGTGGTTAGACTAGACATGATCATTTCTTGTGACCTATGAGTTTGTAAAACTTATCTCATTACCCGAGACAGACAATCTGTTTAAATTTTGCAGATGTTATGAATTTTTGAATATTCCAAAGTCTGCTTTAAGATTTGTTTGTCTTTTTTTTTGGATCTTTGATTCTAAATGATGCTATCTTGTGTTTTTTGATATGCAGAATGGATTTTAGGTTTCAACAAACGATTGCAAGTCGTCAAGCTACGAGCGGAAAAGAGTCGTCGTCAGCGGTTAGCATGCCATATCTCCCGGATGATATACTGCTGAACTGTTTAGCCCGCGTCTCGAGATTGTACTACCCAACTCTCTCCTTAGTTTCCAAGAGATTCTGCTCTCTCCTCGCTTCCACGGATCTTTACGAGACCCGGAGGCTATTAGGAAGCACAGAGAGTTGTCCCTATCTCTGCTTAACGTCCCCTGGTAGCTCTAAGCCACGTTGGTTTACTCTGAGCCGTGGACCAGCTCCAATCCCCAACGCTTACTCAAGATGGTTCACTTCCTGTTTTAGTCCCTACAGTAAGAGTCGCACAACAAGGAATATTATGGTGTCGGTACCGGGTCACAGTTTTCCGCCTCAGTCTCGTTGGCTTCCTACAGTAGTCGGTTTCAGCATCTACATGATTGGAGGACGCATCAAAGGTGAGCCTTCGTCTAGGGTATTCGTGATGGACTGTCGGTCTCACACATGGCACGAAGCTCCAAGCATGCGGTTGGCTCGGAAGCGCTCCCTCCTGAGTGCTGCTTGTGGGAAGATATATGTAGTGGAAGGATGCTATTGTGATTCCTCAGAATTTATGGAGTTTTTCGATCCCAAAACCCAGATGTGGGAGCATGTGCCAAGCCCTGGAGCAGAGATACGCGGGTCATATATGCTGGAAAGCCTTGCCAAGGAAGGAAATCTTTACTTAGGTGGGGAAAAGAGTGTTGTTTACAAGCCCAAGGAAGATGAATGGGATGTGCTAGGACCGGGAATGCATTTTGGTGGGATTTCAGATTCTTCTTGCATGATAGATAACGTAAGATATTGTTACACTGTCGGATCCGGATCCGCATCGTCTAGAAGTCTTAAATGGTACTCTAAGGAAAGATCACGGTGGATAGCTCTCAAGAATTTGGAGAAACTGCCTAAATTACTAAAGGGTAATGATCGTGTTAGATTGGAGAATTGTGGTGGAAATATTTTGGTTTTTTGGGAGGAGAATGTCCTTTCTATTGGTTCTACCAAGAAGAAGAAGATTTGGTGTGCTGAGATTGCGATTGAAAGACGCAACAAAGAGGAGGTATTCGGGAAAGTTGAGTGGTGTGATGTGGTGCTTACAGTCCCCAAGTCATGTTCTTTCGAGCAATTCGTTGTTGCCACTGTTTGAGCCATAGGAACCATTTATTTACTTGGTCCAATATACGATTTTGATTTTGCTGTGGAGTCAAAAAATCAAAAAAGCAAAAGAGACTTTCACTGTTTTTTCGAAACACAATGTAAATGTATGACTTCATATACTCCTCTCTTTTGTAGATGACAAACGTGTTCCTCTCTTTTTGGTAAATTAACGTGTTCCTGCTCCCGAGAAAGCTATGACGTCCAGACAAAGGGTTTTAGCAACCGAATTGTTGTGCATAACTCTTGTTTTTGACACACATTCTGCCAAACAACTGGTTGGAACAGAGAGCACGTGATTAGAGAAGTAATCAAGAGGTTAAAGGAGCATGGGCCGGATTGGAGTAAATGGAAACGAACAGATTGAATCTCTTCTTGGTAACAAAGCTAGGATTAAGGAGGGAAGCTAGCAAGATTGTTATTCACAATAAGTGGCAAGGACTGTTTAAAGTACTTCACTTATCATGCTGTCGGCCCTAACAATCCTACTCCGGAGGAAAGTTACCTGAGGTTGTCCTGAAGCCGGAATGTAAAATCAAAGCGTAAGCTCTAGCAAATTCTGAAATAGAAGGAAACTTTAAAAGTGAAAGGGAGTGAGAGAATACCATATCGTAACACTTAAATGCGTGTAGCTGGCATGTCCGTTCTGCATAGGATGTGTTAGTGTTCCTTGCATCTTCTTCCAGATTTGTGCAGTTAGTGAAAATGAATGTAGAACAAATCTGCTCAGTGATCAAAGCAACGGCCAGCGGATCCATAACGCGTTCCAGTTTGTGATATCCATGTGCGTCTAAGTATTCAAGGTTTGGAGGAAGTGTGGGAAGCTCTATGAGATTCTCACAGAACTTCAAGTCAAGCCACTTCAGATGATTAAGTTGTTTGATGTTAGCTGGCAGGTTGATCATGCTATTTCCACTCAAGCATAAATGCTGGAGTGATTCTTTGAAGTGCAATATCATTTGAATCTCTTCTAGCGCTGTGCCATCAACCAGTAAGATCCGCAAATGTTTCATGTTTCCTGTGTCCGTTGGAAAACTCTTGAGCTTTGAGAAACCAGAGAGTATTAGGTCTTCAAGAGCTTTTAGCTTTCCAAGAGAACTAGGAAGATGCAGAAAAGTTCTCTTGGAAAAGAACTCGGTGAGAAGCAGAAAAGTTCTTCAGGAGGACAGTGCAGGCTGTAGAACAACCATGAGAGAATTTGTTGAAATACAAATCAGTAAGAGAAATTATGGATGAAGACACATTCACGTGAACATGGATCAAACCAATGGTTTTGCTCTGTTTTTTTTTCAGCTTGTATTCTGTTTCACTTTTGTACTTGGTCTTCAAACAAACTTTGTAATAAGATTTTTAATTCAAAATAGAATCTCTCTTTCAACTTTCAACTTTCAACATTCAAAATAAAATAAAATAAAAGATCTTTTCCAGCATTAAGAAAAAAAACAATTAAAAACCCTATTTCAACAAACTATGAGTTTCAGGGGTAGATGCGACCTGTACGTCGATGGAAGAGAAAACTCGACTTACAGATTGAGATAACAGTGTCCCACCAAAGCCTAAAATGCAATACAACAAAAAAGAGAATCGAAAGAGCAGCAAGGACACAGATGAGGACCAGCCTCCCAGTAGACGTGTGATCACGGATCAAGATCATTGTCGCGGTGAAGCAAACAACCATGGCGATTATCGATACAAACAATGTTGTAAGTCCGAACACCAGCTTCGCCGGTAAGGCCTTCCGAAAATCATCTTCCGCGTACCGAGAAGTCAAGATCGACAAGAAGATCACAACAGAGTCGACAGATGTAAAGAGACCAATGATGTCCCACTTGGTGAAGGTATCAAACCACTCATTCTCAGCCAAGTTAGGAAGACCCGTTGATTCTTTGATTCCACCTGGTACGGTGAAGGCTGCTGTAAAAAGCACGGTAGCAATCAGCGCTGCTACGAGTATACATGCTGTTGCGGTTTCTTTCATCCATTTCTCTCCCTCTTTGCGTAAATTTTCATGTTCTTTAATAAATATATCATGCGGTGTCTCCCCCTTTACGTTTCCAGCTTTGATGTATGTATGAGGAACAATCTCTTTAACAGCCTGCAATATGATTAGAAGAAGGTTATTTGTGAAGGATATAGACACCGATATATAAAACCGGAGAAGAAATAATACAACCAATCGTGTTTAGCGTACCTCGAACCATAGTAGTTCTCTTTGCATCTGAAGTGCTGCTCCCGGTACCATTTGTAACCGATCCGGAGATGGTAAACGAGCCACAAGGTGCAGAATGTTCTCGTTTTGCAACGGGTCTTTATAAAAAGCTATCAAATCCTTCCTAGCCCCGAGCTCGTAGATTATGTTGAAAATGCTTGCATGACGATGTAAAGCAGCTACATGAAATATACTTTGATTTTTCCCATCAACTTTCCATAGGAGGTCAGGACAAGAACGAAGTAGAATATCTAAAAACTCGATATTTCCTGATTCTACGGCATCAAAGAGTAGATTTCGAGGTGAATTGATGAAATCCCAAATCTCTTCTTCTGGTCGCTGTGCAATTGATTTCCATATATCTTCTACGAGCCGATGAGCCAAGATTTGCAGTTTTGCTCCACCGAATAAACCTTTGAAAACTACATGGGAAAGAAGAGTTAACGTTAACGGCAATGTTAAGGCGTAAAAGAAAAATAAAAAAGTCTATTTACATAAGTTGTACTTACTGGAATTTGCTAGTCTTTGAAACTGGTTCAACTGTTTTTCACGTGAAATTGCAGAGGGCTTGCGAGCCATCAAGTGCAATGCTGTCTCTCCTTTAGAGTTTCGAGCAGCTGCTAGGCTAATATTCGCTTTTAGTAGTTGCAAAGCTACATCTGCGGAAACGAAAATGAAAATTGCAAGTGTGAGTTCAAAGCTAAAATTTGACAAAGAGATAAGAAAATAAAAAGCTAGTGTAAGGGGGTTAGAGATAATGTACCAAAGATATCGGCTGATATGACGGCAAGAAAAAAATTAATTAGCTGCCCTGAAAGGATTAGAGGTCTGAGGTTTGTAGTCTCAAAAAGGTAGACTACCATGTCTCGCCGAGCAAACAACGCTGCTATGTGGATTGGAGTCAGATCTTCAGCCCCTACAGCCAATGAAATTCGCTTGTTCTTATCTGCCATCAATCGAGCAATCTCAACAACTCCCGATGCTGCAGCAAACGAAAAAGCGGTATTGCCGTCCTTGTCTCGTAGATATAGATCAGTTTCATCCGTAATTTCAAGCAATTTTTCGACAAAGTGTGTTTGTTTTGATGCAACAGCGATGTGAAGAGGAGTCTCCCACTGAAAGGTGATTGCTTCGCGAAAAATCTCGGGCCGTCGATTGATTATAGTCCGGGCTGATTCCCAGTCACCTTTCATAGCAGCTTGGCATAGTGGAACACACAAATCCAAGTACCCGCTTCTGCTTCCATCTGGAAAAATATTGATGCATGTGAGACGATAAGTAACAGCCAAAAAATCAAATACACACAAAACAAAACAGAAGAAAAGGAAAGAAAGAAACAGAACAGTGTCGAGGGTATGTAAATTGTTGCATACCATCAACAAGATTTGGATGTTTAATAGCATTATCACTGGGTGGAACATCATGATCTTGAAGTTCTGTCTGATCAATAACAAGACTTATATCTTTATGTTGATGCCTCATCTCTTCCTTGGGTTGCAAGCAAGCTTTGTGGCAACTGAAGTTATAACCAAAAAAGAAAAGAAAAAGAGAGTTTAAGACACAGAGGCTCAATTACTTCGAGAGGTTTTCAGAATTTAAGAAGCTGAGGCTTTTACCTTGAATCAAAAGTTTTCAGAATTTAAGAAGCAGAGCTCATCATCGTTGTTGGACACAGCATACGTATATATAATATAGCTAACCCTATTTGTAAAAGGAAATTGCGTTATTTACATTTTTTTTTTTCTTTTTGCTTTTGACATCCGTTATTCTTCGTAAACGAAAAAAGGAAAAACCAAACCATTAACCCCAAGAAAAAAAAAAAAAAAATTGGAAATTTGGACGAGAATTTTGATTCGTCATCGTTGTAGGTTTTTCACTTTACATTATTCTTCAATTTTCCCCCCTTTTTTTTTTTTTTTCAATGTTTCGTTGATAAAAGGAAATAAATAGAAAATAATAATTTTATTAAAATAACCATTGAGAATCGAAAAATGTAATTTACTGGAAATAACAATACTAGCTAGGCCCAATAGATTGATGATATTCTTCTTCGTTCTTGTTATATCAGACGACAATGATATGACAAATATAAGAACTAGAGACCGACTTAAGGATGGAGTCATGCACATCGAGTCAGTTTAGCTACTCGAGTCAAGAGATCAGCTCTGTTCCATCGCAAACACTTTGTCATCATAAGTTAAGTAGTACTCGTTCAAGCATTCAAGTAAAAAATAATCATCATAAGTTAATGATGACCATAATTTTCTAACAGCAACTCTGTCACGGCAGAAGAAAACAGAGAAATGAATCATGTAAACTATTACGAAGTGGAGGAGTATAGAGGCGCAAGCGTTCTTGTCACTGACTAACCCGTCTTTCACAATGCTCGATTGTCTCTGAGAATACTACATTACAAGCATCTTGATGCTGAGAAAGTAGACTACCCAACCAGGTGAATTTAACACCATAAACACTCAAAGAACATTTCTCATTCCTGGACAACGAACCCATGAAGTCCGAAAACTCTAGTTCCAATCTGCATACAATACTCTAGTTCCAATCTGAGGACCAAATAAAGAAATCATATGGCTCAAACAGTGGCAACAACGAATTCCTCGAAAGAACATGACTTGGGGACTGTAAGCACCACATCACACCACTCAACTTTCCCGTATACCTCCTCTTTGTTGCGTCTTTCAATCGCAATCTCAGCACACCAAATCTTCTTCTTCTTCTTTGTAAAACCAATAGCACGGACATTTTCCTCCCAAAAAACCGCAATATTTCCACCACAATTCTCTAATCTAACACGATTATTACCCTTTGGTAATTTAGGCAGTTTCTCCAAATCCTTGAGAGCTATCCACGACGATCTTTCCTTAGAAAACCATTTAAGACTTCTAGACGATGCGGATCCGGATCCAGCAGTGTAACAATATCTTACGTTATCTATCATGCAAGAAGAATCTGAAATCCCACCGAAATGCATTCCCGGTCCTATCACATGCCATTCATCCTCCTTGGGCTTGTAAACAACACTCTTGTCCCCACCTAAGTAAAGATTTCCTTCCTTGGCAAGGCTTTCCAGCATATACGCTCCGCGTATATCTGCTCCAGGGCTTGGCACATGCTCCCACATCTGGGTTTTGGGATCGAAATACTCCATGAATTCTGAGGGATCGCAATTGGCGCAGCCTTCCACTACATATATTTTCCCATCAACAGCACTCACGAGGGGGAAATTCCGAGCCACCCGCATGCTTGGAGCTTCGTGCCAGGTGTGAGACCGACAGTCCATGACGAATACCCGAGACGAAGGCTCACCGTTGATGTATCCGCCAATCATGTAGACACTGAAACCGACTGCTGTAGGAATCCAACCAGACTGAGGCGGAAAACTGTGACTTGGTACCGACACCATAAGATTCCTTGTTGTGCGACTCTTACAGGGACTAAAACAGGAAGTGAACCATCTTGAGTAAGCGTTGGGGATTGGAGCTGGTCCACGGCTCAGAGTAAACCAACGTGGCTTAGAGCTACCAGGGGACGTTAAGCAGAGATAGGGACAACTCTCTGTGCTTCCTAATAGCCTCCGGGTCTCGTAAAGATCCGTGGAAGCGAGGAGAGAGCAGAATCTCTTGGAAACTAAGGAGAGAGTTGGGTAGTACAATCTCGAGACGCGGGCTAAACAGTTCAGCAGTATATCATCCGGGAGATATGGCATGCTAACAGCTGACGACGACTCTTTTCCGCTCGTAGCTTGACTTGCAGTTGTTTGTTGTAATTTAAAATGCATTCTGCAAAATCAAAACACCATAATTAAGAATCAAAGATCCAAAAAAAATGACAAAACAAACAAATCTTAAAACAGACTTTGCAATATTCAAAAATTCAACAAAACAGATTGTCTCGGGTAATGAGATAAATTTTACAAACTCATAGGGTAGCAAAGTAGAACATCTACAGCAACTTACAAAATTTATGTAAATAACAAAACAAAGTTGTGATCAAAACATTACATGATGATCGAGGAAGTTTTGAAAGAAAAAAAAATATAAAACAGATTCACTGATATATAGTCTCAACTAAAAGAGTAATCAAGCTAACTCTAAATTAGGATTGGAAACAAAGGGTTTGACTATAATGTTCTAGCTTCCTTAAGCATTGCTTAGAATCTCCTTAGAACACGAAACAGAGCTATGAGTTTTTACCTCAATCTCGTAGAATTCAATCTTGTAAAATTCAGATTTCTCAATTTTTCCGAAATCAGAACGACTAATAGGGGGAAAGAGCAAAAGAGCAACAAACCGATTCAACACGACATTAATTGAGCTGGACGCTGCGGTCGTTGAGCTTGTCGAAAGCTTTGCTTTGTTGCTGCAATCTCTCTCTCTCTCTGGTAACAGGGAGATATTTAGAGGTTCTATATATATTGCAGAATTTTGATTTTAGGGCAAAGCGTCGTCGTCGTCGTCGTCGTACTCGCTTTCTTTTTTTTACTCGCGGTTATGTTTGCCTTTTTAGTCTCTCGCCTCTTCTTCCGGTTATCGTTTACTTAACCTGATTCAATTTTCGTTAACCAGATTCCTTTTGTCGAGAACCGGATTGTTTTTTTCTTACCACACATTTTGATTTTTTTTCTCAGTACTATTTGGTTCTAATTATCTTCTTCTTCACCTCTGAAGATGGAAAAAATCCGAAATTAGAGGCAAAAATTGCTGGTTTTCTCGGAGAAATTTGATAAAAATGTCCCCAGGTTAAGCTTCTGATAGTTAGAGTTTCACAGGAAGTTTTTGCGTCTTCTAATGTTGATTGAGCTCGTTTCTGAGAAATTGGCTATCTTTGCTCATTGCAAACCAAAAAAATTGAAACTTTGAGTAATTCCTAAGCTAATTTGTTACTCCTCGTTTGATGGAATGTGATATTTATATATATATAAATATATATATAGTCTATATGTATTATGGGTGATACTCATATAGTATCATTAGGAATTTTTTAATATTATTTATAATATTTGTTTATTGTTTGAGATTTTTTATGATACTCTTATTAAATATGTTTGCATTGGTGAGACCGGTTTAAGTATCATAAAAAAAAAAAATTTGCAAAATCAAAAATTAATATATTAAAACATAGGATTACAAAAGTAATATTACAATAAAAAAAAAACGCAGTCAATCAATTTTGATAAATTAGAGAACATTATTAATTTTGACATATCTATGTTGAAGATAAATTTTAACTTCCAGTCAATCATAGTGCGACATGTACATTGTATATTTCAAACTCAAACTCTTTAGCCCAAAAAAAAGACGAACCATTTTCTCTAGCATTCAACGTTTCACAATGCCACAGAAACACGAGACCGGACAATGGATCAATGTTGGAACTGAAGACCAAAGTGACTGGTTTCAACAATGAAACGAAAAAAGTTTCCAAAAGCAAAACATCTGATATCCACAAAGTAAGAATTGAAACCAAACTAAAATCAACAGGATCTGCACTTTAATAAATCAGAGAGTAGGAATGGTTTTGGAGCCTATGAACTGTTTCAGAATCGCTTTCTCTTGGTCATTCCGTTTCTTCTCTTCTGCGTTTTTGGGATTTACTTTCCTTTTCTCCTCCAACATCCATTTGAAGAGCTCACGTTGTTGTTTCTCTGGAATTGGCTCACGTGCCTTGACCACCACTGGCTCTGCAACCACTGTAGAAGACACAGTTTTTTCCACAGTAACAGGAGCTGTGACTGAACTTGATTTAGCAGCCATCTCTTCGTTTACAGGATCTATGTCCTTTTTCTTAGTTCTAAAGAAAAGATAACCTGCAAAACGAATAAGGCAAATAACCGTCAGTAATAGTCATGAAAGCCTCTGTGAAGGCATATCCATCAAGATTGTAACTTCAACGCAGTTCTAAGGTAATACAGAAATAAACGAGTTGATGAAACATGTAATTCCAAGATCACGAATATAGAAACTATCTAAGGAAGAATCTCGATGGCGCGATGTAAACTATCTTAAATGACTCTTAAAATCATATACCCAGCTAACAAAATGAGAAAACTAAACATCATTTCTGATGTGGGAAAAAGGTTATCCATAAACAAGGATCAGTCATGTTTCAGCAGGAGACAAAAATACAAGCAGAGAACCTTAAGAATAGTAGTCTGCAACATTACGATACAGGTTCTATAGATCATGTTACAGATTGCATCTAAAGATGAGCAAAATCCTGAAGTATCAATAGAGAGAGTAAACAAAATCTAAAGATCACAAAAGATGTATCAAGCAAACTCAGACATTCACAAACACATGAACTGCAGCAGATCTCAATGGTCCAAGCTTTGTGCCTCATCAAAAACCTAATGATTCAAAAGTCCTTAACTTCAACAGAATCATTACTACTAGTACTAATGCTAAAGTCCTAATGCTAAAGTCTCAAAAGCAGTTTTGGAGTTTACCTTTTAACCTATGCAGCTTGTCACCACTTCATGTGATGAATCTGAGTTGCTTGCAGCCTTGGTAGCAGCACGAGCTGCCTGCCTTCTTGGTATCTGAGTCCTCATCAGAGAAAGAAGAATCTTTAGCACGAGCTGATGCTTTCAGGATCACTTATCTTTTGCCACCTGCAAGTCCATTGAGAAGTAAGACAAAAGTAAAGATATTAGACTGATAGAGATAGAAAATGATACTTTGCAGGTCAGAAGATGTTTCAGCAAGAGAAAGTACCTCGCTATCGAATATAGAGTCCAAATCGCGTGTACTGGTAAAAGGCCTAAGATGATTGCAGAGTTTCCAATAGCCACAATAAGGCATATAACTGGGCAGAAAACGATGCCTAAGCAAACAAAGAAGTAAAGAAACGTTCAAAACAATTCATTCCCACAAAACTAGTGAACTAGACTAATAAAAGAACAAAAAATCATGGATTTAGAGTACTGAAGAACACAAAATTGTTCAGCAGATGAAAATGGAAATGCTAATTCACTAACTTCGGAAGCACTTGATGAATGAAACAATTAGTTACTCTTAGATAAACACTAAGCCATTGAAGCGGAGGAGAGAAAATCGGCGGAAGCGGAGGAGAAGCAAAGGAAGGATCGGGAAGCCAGAATCGGTGAAGGAGAGAAATTCGGTGGAGGCTAGGGTTTCTCTCGCGAGAGAAGAGAAGAGAGAACAAAATGATTTTTTTTTTTTTTCCACTGCTTTCGGGAAAACGCAACCAATCAACAGCTGCCACGTCATCTGATACTGGGTATCAGAAGTTTCACTGGGCTGATACGGATCAGACCCGTTTTAACTGTTTGGTCCTTTAAATAATATTTTTTGGGCTTCTGATACTGTAAAAGTATCACCCATACACATGGTCTTAGTTTTGTTTCAGAAGTGATACTCTGATAGATTCAAAAATCTGGTTCTGTGAGATTTGATTTTCATGTACCTGTTTTATTGATTAGATGGTGCATTATTGTGTGATCAAGATTGCTTAAAGAAATGGGTTTGGCGTTTTGTGTTGGTAGTTCTCCTCTACGTTTTAAAAAGACATAAATCCATGTTCGGGGAAACGAGCTGTGTGATGCCATTTGATGCCTCTTACTATCAAAATGGCCGTCGCAACCAATTGGTCTTCAGGGACTGTTTAACCTCTGAAGGCTACATGTATATCAAATTGGTCTTCGTTAGATTCTATCAATTTTGGAATTTTTTGTGCCAATGTGGAAAAAAGGGATTTAGGGTTTATCAATCTTGATAAAGGAGATTTTGAGAAAGCTATACCATGTGGACTCACGAGGAATAAGTTTCACTAGAGATAATTCGTGCTTTCGTTGTTACTTCTTTTATGCTTTCATTTGAATTGAAGTTCTTTGTGTTTATAGTATAGTGTAGTGGCTCACTTAGTATCTGTGTCATTAACAAAGAACCTTCCTTTCTTGAATTTGCACAAGACTTTTGAAGTGTACCCTCAAGAGGAAGCTACCGGAATGTATACTTCAGATAACACTCATTTTGTTAATCAGGACCACTCAGCTTGTCTTTGAGTTACAATTTTCTCTTGGATAAATACAAAGAACCGAAATTGTGGTTGTAGACTTCACATTGGTTTATTGGTTATATGTGTTTGACTAAGAAATTAAGAAACGTAGACTTGCCTAGTTGTGTAGTGATTTGATTCTTGGGTCGGTCCTTCAACTATAATTAGCATTATGGTCCTGTAAGTTGATTATACATACAATAAAACCTCTATAAATTAATAATGTTGGGACCATGAAATTTTATTAATTTAGAGAGGTATTAATTTATCGATAAATTAATAATTATTAATTTATAGAGAGAAATTTTTTTTTATTTATAAGCAATATCTTTTTAAAACCAATTACAAGTAGAGAAGTAATTATTAAGTTTAAAAATCAACACAAACTTTTTTCGAATAATAGAGTCATATTTTATTAAATATTTTACATATAATATTTTAAATATATATCAAAGTAATTCATATATGACATATATAAATTTATATCACATATATATATTAAGTTAAATATACATATATATATATATATATATTGATAAGTTTATATAATTATTAATTTATGATATAGATGAGACCATATGTTTACATGAGATTTTTAAAAAAAATTATTATCTTATTAATTTATCGATTTATGTCATATTTTACACTGGTCCCAACTCGGGACCGGGAAAATTTATTAATTTAGAGAGGTTATTAATTTATAGAGTATTAATTTATAGAGGTTTTACTGTATGTTGATTTAATCCACTACACATTCATTCACAGAGTTCCATAACAGAAAATCGAAAGAAAGATACCTCCTATGGCTTCCTCCTCCATTCTCGGCATCGGACTCTTGCCACAGGCAGGGGCGGATCTAGAGCATTAGTGGGTGGGGCACGTGCCCCATACACAATTTATAAATTTTGTTATGTAACATTTGCCAATAGTTTTCTTCTTGGTTGAGTTGGTGCTGTGTGCCATAAGTAAATAGCTGGTGGAGAGTTCGATTCTTTTTTGGTTTTTTTCTCTTTCTCATCTTTTAATAAAATAGAAGAAATCATCTTTGATTGCCATATTTCTTTCCTTTACATGGGACTTTCTATATATGTGTACTAATATTTATGTATTAATATGTTGCTCTTGCTCATCTAACGTTATATTTTAATCATGGATGACATTATTATATATGTGAACTTTAAATATAAAAAATTATTTTTGTAATTGTTATTCTTGATTCTAACTATGTATTGTTATATTTATAAATCATAAAAGTATTTTTAATATATGTGAGTAGAAATAGCATATCAAGTTCATACAAATCAATTGCAAATTACTAATTTGTTAGATTTAAAATTAGAACATGATAAAAACTAATTATACGTATTAAATAATTTTGTTAATGTTAATTTAATATTAAAAATAGGGTTGTTTGCTGTTTTACACTAAAATTATTGGTAAGTTACAAAAATACACTAGATTTCCCATCTTTGACGGTATATTTTTTGTCTTTATAATCAAATTTTGGTGTATTTCAAGCAATTTTCCCTTAAAAGTACGTTAGTTTATTGTTTTTAGTAATGTTTAATGTGCCCCACACAAAAAAGTTTTCTGGATCCGCCACTGGCCACAGGATCAAGTGTTCATCAACTTCCGAGGAGATGAGCTGCGTACGAGCTTCGTGAGAGATCTGACGAAAGCCTTGAAAGAAAATGGGGTCAACGTTTTTATGGATGAACAGCTGAACAAAGGCACCCGTATTACAAAGTTGTTCAAGAAGATCGAGGAGTCAAGGATTGCACTGGCTATATTCTCTAAAAGGTACTCTGAATCCAAATGGTGCTTAGATGAGTTGGTCAAGATCAATGAACGAGTGAACGAAGGCCAACTCGTTGCCGTTCCCATCTTCTATAAGCTGGACACATCCGATGTGAAGGAGCTTAAGGGAGACTTTGGTGATAACTTCAAGATTCGGGCTTATAGAAGTGAGCACCAGAAAGTTATAGAGTGTGAGAAAGCTTTGACGTCTATTTGTGGCATCATGGGAATGACGTACCAAGAAGACGGGTAACCATCTCTTTTTCTCTATAAATGTTTTTCACACACTGACACACACACACCCTCATGATCAAACGCTGGATGCAATATCTTTGTTTTATGTGTAGGTAGAAAATTTTACTCGGAGTTAAACTCTTGTCTCTGACTCATATTCTTCTAAACAAACATGGCTTAGCTTTACATTGTTTTGCATTAGTTCATGAAATTTTGTAGTAATCAAGGAACCACTGTATAAGGGCATGTATCTTATTCTCTTAAATTACGAAAAAGCTCCTTTCTCATCACTCCATGTGTGCCAGGGATGAGGGAGAATTCATTGACTCAAATCATTGAATCTGTGAAGAATTTGCTAATTCATACCATCTCGACTGGAGGAAACACAGGAAAAGAAGAGCTTGATGAACCTCTATATGGAATAAAACAATTCCTCGAGAAATTAGAAGAGACGTTAGAGTTTAAATCCGCATGGGAATGGAAAAACCTGTATTGTTGGAGTTGTTGGGATGCCTGGGATTGGCAAAACCGCTCTTGCTAAATCATTTTACAACAGGTGGGAAAAACAGTTTGAGTACAGCATGTGTTTAGCACAAGTAAGCAAGATGTTAAAGGAGCACGGACCGAACTGGTTGCAGATGAGACTCTTGTGAGAGCTCTTGAAAGATACTCATCTCGTCATAGGATTTACAGAGAATGCACATCAGGTTTGGAAGGATGAGTTACTCAAAAGGAAGTTTTTTGTTGTTCTTGATGACGTTAACGGAAAAGAGCAGATTGAATATCTTCTTGGTAACTTGGATTGGATTAAGGAGGGAAGCAAGATTGTTATCACAACAAGCGACAAGTCACTGCTCCAGAATTTAGTCAACTATACATTTGTCGTCCCCAAATTAAATGACAAATACGGTTTATAAGTACTTCACTTTTCATGCCTTCAGCCCCAACAATCCTCCTCCAGAAGAAAATTACTTGAGGTTGTCCAGAAAGATTCTAGATTATACCAAAGGCAACCCATTATTTCTCAAGGAATTGGGAGTGGAGCTTCTTGGCAAGGAGGAGGAGGACTGGCAAAAGAGAGTGGGAACACTAACACAAAGTTCCAATCCGAAAGTTCAAGGTGCCTTGAGTAAGAGATACTTAAAACTCAGTGAGAAGCAGAAAGATGCATTTCTTGACATTGCTTGTTTTTTCAGATCAAAGACTACAAGTTATGTAAGATGTATGTTGGATTCATGTGATTCGGGTGTAATAGGCGATATCACTGATAGGAACTTGCTTCAAGAGTTCAGAGTAGGCTGTGGAACCATAAGAAAAGTGTTCTCATGTTGAAGTACAAATCAGTAAGAGACATTTAAGAAATCTTTGATTTTTGTGGAGTAGCCATTTTGTATCCTGCAACAGAAGATGAGAAATCGCAGCAAGACGAATTGTTCAAGATCTTAAACATGAGTTTGGTGATAATTTCAAGATTTTGGTTTATAAAAAGTGAGCAGCACAAAGTAAAAGACTGGGAAAAAGATTTGATTAGTGAGCAGCACAAATGTATAAGGCTAATGTTTCTGCCTTGTGTTTTAACTGCTACCTTCTCTTTGCAGCCCGTTCTTACTTGAATGCTTGAACGAGTACTACTTAACTTATGATGACAAAGTGTTTGCGATGGAACAGAGCTGATCTCTTGACTCGAGTAGCTAAACTGACTCGATGTGCATGACTCCATCCTTAAGTCGGTCTCTAGTTCTTATATTTGTCATATCATTGTCGTCTGATATAACAAGAACGAAGAAGAATATCATCAATCTATTGGGCCTAGCTAGTATTGTTATTTCCAGTAAATTACATTTTTCGATTCTCAATGGTTATTTTAATAAAATTATTATTTTCTATTTATTTCCTTTTATCAACGAAACATTGAAAAAAAAAAAAAAAGGGGGGAAAATTGAAGAATAATGTAAAGTGAAAAACCTACAACGATGACGAATCAAAATTCTCGTCCAAATTTCCAATTTTTTTTTTTTTTTTCTTGGGGTTAATGGTTTGGTTTTTCCTTTTTTCGTTTACGAAGAATAACGGATGTCAAAAGCAAAAAGAAAAAAAAAAAATGTAAATAACGCAATTTCCTTTTACAAATAGGGTTAGCTATATTATATATACGTATGCTGTGTCCAACAACGATGATGAGCTCTGCTTCTTAAATTCTGAAAACTTTTGATTCAAGGTAAAAGCCTCAGCTTCTTAAATTCTGAAAACCTCTCGAAGTAATTGAGCCTCTGTGTCTTAAACTCTCTTTTTCTTTTCTTTTTTGGTTATAACTTCAGTTGCCACAAAGCTTGCTTGCAACCCAAGGAAGAGATGAGGCATCAACATAAAGATATAAGTCTTGTTATTGATCAGACAGAACTTCAAGATCATGATGTTCCACCCAGTGATAATGCTATTAAACATCCAAATCTTGTTGATGGTATGCAACAATTTACATACCCTCGACACTGTTCTGTTTCTTTCTTTCCTTTTCTTCTGTTTTGTTTTGTGTGTATTTGATTTTTTGGCTGTTACTTATCGTCTCACATGCATCAATATTTTTCCAGATGGAAGCAGAAGCGGGTACTTGGATTTGTGTGTTCCACTATGCCAAGCTGCTATGAAAGGTGACTGGGAATCAGCCCGGACTATAATCAATCGACGGCCCGAGATTTTTCGCGAAGCAATCACCTTTCAGTGGGAGACTCCTCTTCACATCGCTGTTGCATCAAAACAAACACACTTTGTCGAAAAATTGCTTGAAATTACGGATGAAACTGATCTATATCTACGAGACAAGGACGGCAATACCGCTTTTTCGTTTGCTGCAGCATCGGGAGTTGTTGAGATTGCTCGATTGATGGCAGATAAGAACAAGCGAATTTCATTGGCTGTAGGGGCTGAAGATCTGACTCCAATCCACATAGCAGCGTTGTTTGCTCGGCGAGACATGGTAGTCTACCTTTTTGAGACTACAAACCTCAGACCTCTAATCCTTTCAGGGCAGCTAATTAATTTTTTTCTTGCCGTCATATCAGCCGATATCTTTGGTACATTATCTCTAACCCCCTTACACTAGCTTTTTATTTTCTTATCTCTTTGTCAAATTTTAGCTTTGAACTCACACTTGCAATTTTCATTTTCGTTTCCGCAGAGTAGCTTTGCAACTACTAAAAGCGAATATTAGCCTAGCAGCTGCTCGAAACTCTAAAGGAGAGACAGCATTGCACTTGATGGCTCGCAAGCCCTCTGCAATTTCACGTGAAAAACAGTTGAACCAGTTTCAAAGACTAGCAAATTCCAGTAAGTACAACTTATGTAAATAGACTTTTTTATTTTTCTTTTACGCCTTAACATTGCCGTTAACGTTAACTCTTCTTTCCCATGTAGTTTTCAAAGGTTTATTCGGTGGAGCAAAACTGCAAATCTTGGCTCATCGGCTCGTAGAAGATATATGGAAATCAATTGCACAGCGACCAGAAGAAGAGATTTGGGATTTCATCAATTCACCTCGAAATCTACTCTTTGATGCCGTAGAATCAGGAAATATCGAGTTTTTAGATATTCTACTTCGTTCTTGTCCTGACCTCCTATGGAAAGTTGATGGGAAAAATCAAAGTATATTTCATGTAGCTGCTTTACATCGTCATGCAAGCATTTTCAACATAATCTACGAGCTCGGGGCTAGGAAGGATTTGATAGCTTTTTATAAAGACCCGTTGCAAAACGAGAACATTCTGCACCTTGTGGCTCGTTTACCATCTCCGGATCGGTTACAAATGGTACCGGGAGCAGCACTTCAGATGCAAAGAGAACTACTATGGTTCGAGGTACGCTAAACACGATTGGTTGTATTATTTCTTCTCCGGTTTTATATATCGGTGTCTATATCCTTCACAAATAACCTTCTTCTAATCATATTGCAGGCTGTTAAAGAGATTGTTCCTCATACATACATCAAAGCTGGAAACGTAAAGGGGGAGACACCGCATGATATATTTATTAAAGAACATGAAAATTTACGCAAAGAGGGAGAGAAATGGATGAAAGAAACCGCAACAGCATGTATACTCGTAGCAGCGCTGATTGCTACCGTGCTTTTTACAGCAGCCTTCACCGTACCAGGTGGAATCAAAGAATCAACGGGTCTTCCTAACTTGGCTGAGAATGAGTGGTTTGATACCTTCACCAAGTGGGACATCATTGGTCTCTTTACATCTGTCGACTCTGTTGTGATCTTCTTGTCGATCTTGACTTCTCGGTACGCGGAAGATGATTTTCGGAAGGCCTTACCGGCGAAGCTGGTGTTCGGACTTACAACATTGTTTGTATCGATAATCGCCATGGTTGTTTGCTTCACCGCGACAATGATCTTGATCCGTGATCACACGTCTACTGGGAGGCTGGTCCTCATCTGTGTCCTTGCTGCTCTTTCGATTCTCTTTTTGTTGTATTGCATTTTAGGCTTTGGTGGGACACTGTTATCTCAATCTGTAAGTCGAGTTTTCTCTTCCATCGACGTACAGGTCGCATCTACCCCTGAAACTCATAGTTTGTTGAAATAGGGTTTTTAATTGTTTTTTTTCTTAATGCTGGAAAAGATCTTTTATTTTATTTTATTTTGAATGTTGAAAGTTGAAAGTTGAAAGAGAGATTCTATTTTGAATTAAAAATCTTATTACAAAGTTTGTTTGAAGACCAAGTACAAAAGTGAAACAGAATACAAGCTGAAAAAAAAACAGAGCAAAACCATTGGTTTGATCCATGTTCACGTGAATGTGTCTTCATCCATAATTTCTCTTACTGATTTGTATTTCAACAAATTCTCTCATGGTTGTTCTACAGCCTGCACTGTCCTCCTGAAGAACTTTTCTGCTTCTCACCGAGTTCTTTTCCAAGAGAACTTTTCTGCATCTTCCTAGTTCTCTTGGAAAGCTAAAAGCTCTTGAAGACCTAATACTCTCTGGTTTCTCAAAGCTCAAGAGTTTTCCAACGGACACAGGAAACATGAAACATTTGCGGATCTTACTGGTTGATGGCACAGCGCTAGAAGAGATTCAAATGATATTGCACTTCAAAGAATCACTCCAGCATTTATGCTTGAGTGGAAATAGCATGATCAACCTGCCAGCTAACATCAAACAACTTAATCATCTGAAGTGGCTTGACTTGAAGTTCTGTGAGAATCTCATAGAGCTTCCCACACTTCCTCCAAACCTTGAATACTTAGACGCACATGGATATCACAAACTGGAACGCGTTATGGATCCGCTGGCCGTTGCTTTGATCACTGAGCAGATTTGTTCTACATTCATTTTCACTAACTGCACAAATCTGGAAGAAGATGCAAGGAACACTAACACATCCTATGCAGAACGGACATGCCAGCTACACGCATTTAAGTGTTACGATATGGTATTCTCTCACTCCCTTTCACTTTTAAAGTTTCCTTCTATTTCAGAATTTGCTAGAGCTTACGCTTTGATTTTACATTCCGGCTTCAGGACAACCTCAGGTAACTTTCCTCCGGAGTAGGATTGTTAGGGCCGACAGCATGATAAGTGAAGTACTTTAAACAGTCCTTGCCACTTATTGTGAATAACAATCTTGCTAGCTTCCCTCCTTAATCCTAGCTTTGTTACCAAGAAGAGATTCAATCTGTTCGTTTCCATTTACTCCAATCCGGTCCATGCTCCTTTAACCTCTTCCTTACTTCTGCTTAACACATGCTCTGTTCCAACCTGTTGTTTGGCAGAATATGAGTCAGAAACAAGTATTATGCACCACAATGTAAAACTAAGCCATGTTTGTTTGGCAGAATATGAGTCAGAAACAAGAGTCTAACGCTGAGCTAAGTTTTATACCTAAACATAAAAGCAAAGATGATGCATTAAGCAGCAAATGAACATGGCTCTAGAGGACTTAGTTTTGTGTATGTGAAAAAAAAAAAAAAAACATTTACAGAGAGAGAAAGAGATGGTTACATCTTTCTTTGTACGCCTCTCCTATCTTCCCAGAAATAGACATCAAATCTTTCTCCCAGTCTTTTACTTTGTGCTGCTCACTTTTTATAAACCAGAATCTTGAAATTATCACCAAACTCATGTTTAAGATCTTGAACAATTCGTATTGCTGCGATTTCTCGTCTTCTGTTGCAGGATATGCAAAATGGCTACTCCACAAAAATCAAAGATTTCTTAAAGTTAGAAGCTTTAACAAACAAAGATGGTTAAGGGTCTTGACCAAAGTCAGTAGAGGGGTTTTACTTTGTTATCTGTTGTGGGCTTATTGGAAAGAAAACAGACAGTCGAATGTTAAGCTCCCGTTGAGCCATACGCCAAGTCTTCCCGTTTAAAACCGTATAGCTACTCGAGTCAAGAGATCAGCTCCGTTGCATCGCAAACACTTTGTCATCATAAGTTAAGTAGTACTCGTTCAAGCATTCGAGTAAGAATGGGTTGCAAAGAGAAGGTAGCAGTTAAAACACAAGGCAGAAACATTGGAGGTTACTAAGACAGAATTGATGTCTCTAATGTCGCAAAGCATTGATGTGCGTTTATAAACCTTTTCTTTTCGAATGACATAACTGCACCGTTTAGTGATTCACCCGCTGCCTGATCCTCCAAGCCAAGAGTGTTTGTCAGGGATGACAATTAACCCAAAACTATCACATCAGAATCGAGATAGGACCCCACCATATCTGCACATATGTGCAAAATCATTAAGCGATAAGAGAATGTTCAATCAATCAATAAAGATTAGAGAGTGATCAAGCTAAACTTGTAAAGGGCGGCAAGCCGAACAAGTTCACTGTAGTGACTAGAAGAAAACTTTGTTTTTCTCCAATCAAACCATACAGAAGCATATACGTGAGTAGGAGTATCCTGCAGCAACTCATCTAGGGTGGGCATTGCAACAGCAACTTTATAACTGCAAAAGAAAAACAGAGAAACGAATCAATCAAACTATTACTAGATGGGGGAGTATGGAGGCAGCATTCTGTGTTACTCACTAACCTGTCTTCCACAAAACTGTTTCGGAAGAAATCAAGCTCGACGGTCTCTGAGAAAACCTCAACAGAAGCATCTCGATGCTGAGAAAGTAAGCTCTCAAGCCCTCTTTGATGCCTAACGCTAAACATCCAACCAGGTGAATTCCACACCACATAGAGCACTTCTCCTTTCTAAAAAACGAATCCATAAAATCGGTAAACGACAAACTCGGTTCTATACCGGGATAATATCCCCATTTGCTCCATCTGCATACGTATGTTCTGTAACCTCATCAACCTGTCCCTCAAATTCCACAATATTCTGTTCCTTTTTCTCGATCTTCTTACCATCATCTAGTGTCTTGACCAAACTCATGTTAAAGATCTTTCACACCGGACGTCTCCAATTTGATTCTGGGTAACTCTTTGACGATATAACAAGTGCAATCCTGGAGTCCTCGAACCTCTTGAACAGGTTTATAATATCTTCAAGGCTTTCGCGAGACGACTCACCGGAGCTCGTACGCAGCTCATCTCCTCGGAAGTTTATACATAGAAAGCAGTCCAATGCCAAAAGTGGAGGAGGAGGAGGAAGCCATAGGAGCTATCTTCGTTTTCATGTTCTGCTATGGAATTCTGCGAATGAAAGTGTAGTGGTTTAATAAATCAACATATGCAAAATGATCCTACAGGGCCATTATGTTAAATAAAAACTGACCCAAGAAATCAATACCAAACAAGGCAAGGCTACCTTTCTTAATCTCTTAGTCAAAACACATATAACCATGACACTATATGCAAACCAAAAGTCTACACCGCCACACCTTGGCTTTAATTTCGTTTCTTAGTATTTCATATGGTTATTTTCTTTGGCAAAATTTCACCCAAGGGAAATGGAACTCAAGACAAGCTGAGTACCTTACATCTCAACATAAATCTAAGATGTTGCTGTCTAGCAATAACATGACTGTAGTGGATTTGGGGTGTTTGCTTAGCTCAAAGGGGAGACTAGTTTGATCCAAATTCGAGTTGGTGGGCGTGCGAAAAATGTCATTATGAAAAGAAATCATTACCTCGTTTTCTTCCAACTTTAACACCATCTTGCCAGAATTAGACACCAAATCTTATAGAGGATGGGAATGGCCACGAGTTGCCCTTGGTCCACTCGTTGTTTGATTTTTGCAAGCTCACCGCAGCACCACCCTGATTACCTCTTGGAGAATATAACCAGTGTGAAACTATAGATAAGGTTTTGAAAGATCTTCGCCTCTGTTTTCGAGTTCGTCTATGAAGAATTTGACCCCAAGGAGGAAACCCAAGAAGCTCCGCTCCGACACAGTTCTGTATAGAAACACAACTAGTTAGAGTCCCCACTGACCTCAAAAGACTTGTGCAAACTGAAAAGGACAAAAGGGAAAATCAACTATAGGAATCAAATTGCCAAATTTAAAGGCATTGTTGATATCAACGAAAAATCAAAGATTCTGAAATTTTTCACTAGAAAACGATGATCTATAATAACAGTAATGGTCGATACAAGTTCTAGATTTCCAAATACGAATGATATACAAGTAGTACAATCCCCGTTTCCACATTTGATCTAATTCGCATCGCACCAAAATTCCAAGTGATACAATCAGATAAGAAAAGACAAAACTAAAAGTGTCAACATACAAGAAATACATATGTATATTCTTACACAGGCAAAACCCATTTTTGAGGCAATAGAGCTTATACCAATCTGGCAATCTCGGCCATACATGCCTCCTTGTCCTTGGTGTTGTGAAAGTGTTCGAGAGTAAAAAAATCTTTACATGAGGAAGAAGAGACGGCTTTTGACCCAAAAAAAAAGGCAGAAGAGACGGCCAATGAGTTCATAAAACTCACCGTTTCGCTTTTAAAAGCAAAGGAAATAAAACGCATCGTTTTTAGAAACAAACGTAAAAGCGCAACCATCGCTTTGTTCTTTGTTCTTTTTTTTTTTTTTTTTTTTGCTTCACCGTAGAAATCAAAAAGCTTAATTTTGGAACCTCTCCAAAAACCCTATCGAAATTCGTCTCGTCTCTCTTCTTCGACTCCTAACCCTAATCAGGCCTCTCAATCCTCATCTTTTCTCGTCCGATCCCTCCATCTTTCCCTGCCGCCAGGTTTTTTCTTTTTTTTTTCCTAATTCTGGTTGATCATTCAAATCTCCAAAGTGTTTTTATGGGTTTCGGATTTGATTTCTTCTCTTCCTATTTCTTAATTGGTTCTGATCAATTTCTCCTTTTTTTTATTTAATATAATTCTCAGTAAGTGTACAGAGATATGGCGAATGAAGGTGTTCATTCAGCTCACGAGGTCTCCCTGATGTCTTCCATTGCAAGTCAAGCTACGAGCGGAAAAGAGTCGTCGTCAGCTGTTAGCATGCCATATCTCCCGGATGATATACTGCTGAACTGTTTAGCCCGCGTCTCGAGATTGTACTACCCAACTCTCTCCTTAGTTTCCAAGAGATTCTGCTCTCTCCTCGCTTCCACGGATCTTTACGAGACCCGGAGGCTATTAGGAAGCACAGAGAGTTGTCCCTATCTCTGCTTAACGTCCCCTGGTAGCTCTAAGCCACGTTGGTTTACTCTGAGCCGTGGACCAGCTCCAATCCCCAACGCTTACTCAAGATGGTTCACTTCCTGTTTTAGTCCCTGTAAGAGTCGCACAACAAGGAATCTTATGGTGTCGGTACCAAGTCACAGTTTTCCGCCTCAGTCTGGTTGGATTCCTACAGCAGTCGGTTTCAGTGTCTACATGATTGGCGGATACATCAACGGTGAGCCTTCGTCTCGGGTATTCGTCATGGACTGTCGGTCTCACACCTGGCACGAAGCTCCAAGCATGCGGGTGGCTCGGAATTTCCCCCTCGTGAGTGCTGTTGATGGGAAAATATATGTAGTGGAAGGCTGCGCCAATTGCGATCCCTCAGAATTCATGGAGTATTTCGATCCCAAAACCCAGATGTGGGAGCATGTGCCAAGCCCTGGAGCAGATATACGCGGAGCGTATATGCTGGAAAGCCTTGCCAAGGAAGGAAATCTTTACTTAGGTGGGGACAAGAGTGTTGTTTACAAGCCCAAGGAGGATGAATGGCATGTGATAGGACCGGGAATGCATTTCGGTGGGATTTCAGATTCTTCTTGCATGATAGATAACGTAAGATATTGTTACACTGCTGGATCCGGATCCGCATCGTCTAGAAGTCTTAAATGGTTTTCTAAGGAAAGATCGTCGTGGATAGCTCTCAAGGATTTGGAGAAACTGCCTAAATTACCAAAGGGTAATAATCGTGTTAGATTAGAGAATTGTGGTGGAAATATTGCGGTTTTTTGGGAGGAAAATGTCCGTGCTATTGGTTTTACAAAGAAGAAGAAGAAGATTTGGTGTGCTGAGATTGCGATTGAAAGACGCAACAAAGAGGAGGTATACGGGAAAGTTGAGTGGTGTGATGTGGTGCTTACAGTCCCCAAGTCATGTTCTTTCGAGGAATTCGTTGTTGCCACTGTTTGAGCCATATGATTTCTTTATTTGGTCCTCAGATTGGAACTAGAGTATTGTATGCAGATTGGAACTAGAGTTTTCGGACTTCATGGGTTCGTTGTCCAGGAATGAGAAATGTTCTTTGAGTGTTTATGGTGTTAAATTCACCTGGTTGGGTAGTCTACTTTCTCAGCATCAAGATGCTTGTAATGTAGTATTCTCAGAGACAATCGAGCATTGTGAAAGACGGGTTAGTCAGTGACAAGAACGCTTGCGCCTCTATACTCCTCCACTTCGTAATAGTTTACATGATTCATTTCTCTGTTTTCTTCTGCCGTGACAGAGTTGCTGTTAGAAAATTATGGTCATCATTAACTTATGATGATTATTTTTTACTTGAATGCTTGAACGAGTACTACTTAACTTATGATGACAAAGTGTTTGCGATGGAACAGAGCTGATCTCTTGACTCGAGTAGCTAAACTGACTCGATGTGCATGACTCCATCCTTAAGTCGGTCTCTAGTTCTTATATTTGTCATATCATTGTCGTCTGATATAACAAGAACGAAGAAGAATATCATCAATCTATTGGGCCTAGCTAGTATTGTTATTTCCAGTAAATTACATTTTTCGATTCTCAATGGTTATTTTAATAAAATTATTATTTTCTATTTATTTCCTTTTATCAACGAAACATTGAAAAAAAAAAAAAAAGGGGGGAAAATTGAAGAATAATGTAAAGTGAAAAACCTACAACGATGACGAATCAAAATTCTCGTCCAAATTTCCAATTTTTTTTTTTTTTTTCTTGGGGTTAATGGTTTGGTTTTTCCTTTTTTCGTTTACGAAGAATAACGGATGTCAAAAGCAAAAAGAAAAAAAAAAAATGTAAATAACGCAATTTCCTTTTACAAATAGGGTTAGCTATATTATATATACGTATGCTGTGTCCAACAACGATGATGAGCTCTGCTTCTTAAATTCTGAAAACTTTTGATTCAAGGTAAAAGCCTCAGCTTCTTAAATTCTGAAAACCTCTCGAAGTAATTGAGCCTCTGTGTCTTAAACTCTCTTTTTCTTTTCTTTTTTGGTTATAACTTCAGTTGCCACAAAGCTTGCTTGCAACCCAAGGAAGAGATGAGGCATCAACATAAAGATATAAGTCTTGTTATTGATCAGACAGAACTTCAAGATCATGATGTTCCACCCAGTGATAATGCTATTAAACATCCAAATCTTGTTGATGGTATGCAACAATTTACATACCCTCGACACTGTTCTGTTTCTTTCTTTCCTTTTCTTCTGTTTTGTTTTGTGTGTATTTGATTTTTTGGCTGTTACTTATCGTCTCACATGCATCAATATTTTTCCAGATGGAAGCAGAAGCGGGTACTTGGATTTGTGTGTTCCACTATGCCAAGCTGCTATGAAAGGTGACTGGGAATCAGCCCGGACTATAATCAATCGACGGCCCGAGATTTTTCGCGAAGCAATCACCTTTCAGTGGGAGACTCCTCTTCACATCGCTGTTGCATCAAAACAAACACACTTTGTCGAAAAATTGCTTGAAATTACGGATGAAACTGATCTATATCTACGAGACAAGGACGGCAATACCGCTTTTTCGTTTGCTGCAGCATCGGGAGTTGTTGAGATTGCTCGATTGATGGCAGATAAGAACAAGCGAATTTCATTGGCTGTAGGGGCTGAAGATCTGACTCCAATCCACATAGCAGCGTTGTTTGCTCGGCGAGACATGGTAGTCTACCTTTTTGAGACTACAAACCTCAGACCTCTAATCCTTTCAGGGCAGCTAATTAATTTTTTTCTTGCCGTCATATCAGCCGATATCTTTGGTACATTATCTCTAACCCCCTTACACTAGCTTTTTATTTTCTTATCTCTTTGTCAAATTTTAGCTTTGAACTCACACTTGCAATTTTCATTTTCGTTTCCGCAGATGTAGCTTTGCAACTACTAAAAGCGAATATTAGCCTAGCAGCTGCTCGAAACTCTAAAGGAGAGACAGCATTGCACTTGATGGCTCGCAAGCCCTCTGCAATTTCACGTGAAAAACAGTTGAACCAGTTTCAAAGACTAGCAAATTCCAGTAAGTACAACTTATGTAAATAGACTTTTTTATTTTTCTTTTACGCCTTAACATTGCCGTTAACGTTAACTCTTCTTTCCCATGTAGTTTTCAAAGGTTTATTCGGTGGAGCAAAACTGCAAATCTTGGCTCATCGGCTCGTAGAAGATATATGGAAATCAATTGCACAGCGACCAGAAGAAGAGATTTGGGATTTCATCAATTCACCTCGAAATCTACTCTTTGATGCCGTAGAATCAGGAAATATCGAGTTTTTAGATATTCTACTTCGTTCTTGTCCTGACCTCCTATGGAAAGTTGATGGGAAAAATCAAAGTATATTTCATGTAGCTGCTTTACATCGTCATGCAAGCATTTTCAACATAATCTACGAGCTCGGGGCTAGGAAGGATTTGATAGCTTTTTATAAAGACCCGTTGCAAAACGAGAACATTCTGCACCTTGTGGCTCGTTTACCATCTCCGGATCGGTTACAAATGGTACCGGGAGCAGCACTTCAGATGCAAAGAGAACTACTATGGTTCGAGGTACGCTAAACACGATTGGTTGTATTATTTCTTCTCCGGTTTTATATATCGGTGTCTATATCCTTCACAAATAACCTTCTTCTAATCATATTGCAGGCTGTTAAAGAGATTGTTCCTCATACATACATCAAAGCTGGAAACGTAAAGGGGGAGACACCGCATGATATATTTATTAAAGAACATGAAAATTTACGCAAAGAGGGAGAGAAATGGATGAAAGAAACCGCAACAGCATGTATACTCGTAGCAGCGCTGATTGCTACCGTGCTTTTTACAGCAGCCTTCACCGTACCAGGTGGAATCAAAGAATCAACGGGTCTTCCTAACTTGGCTGAGAATGAGTGGTTTGATACCTTCACCAAGTGGGACATCATTGGTCTCTTTACATCTGTCGACTCTGTTGTGATCTTCTTGTCGATCTTGACTTCTCGGTACGCGGAAGATGATTTTCGGAAGGCCTTACCGGCGAAGCTGGTGTTCGGACTTACAACATTGTTTGTATCGATAATCGCCATGGTTGTTTGCTTCACCGCGACAATGATCTTGATCCGTGATCACACGTCTACTGGGAGGCTGGTCCTCATCTGTGTCCTTGCTGCTCTTTCGATTCTCTTTTTTGTTGTATTGCATTTTAGGCTTTGGTGGGACACTGTTATCTCAATCTGTAAGTCGAGTTTTCTCTTCCATCGACGTACAGGTCGCATCTACCCCTGAAACTCATAGTTTGTTGAAATAGGGTTTTTAATTGTTTTTTTTCTTAATGCTGGAAAAGATCTTTTATTTTATTTTATTTTGAATGTTGAAAGTTGAAAGTTGAAAGAGAGATTCTATTTTGAATTAAAAATCTTATTACAAAGTTTGTTTGAAGACCAAGTACAAAAGTGAAACAGAATACAAGCTGAAAAAAAAACAGAGCAAAACCATTGGTTTGATCCATGTTCACGTGAATGTGTCTTCATCCATAATTTCTCTTACTGATTTGTATTTCAACAAATTCTCTCATGGTTGTTCTACAGCCTGCACTGTCCTCCTGAAGAACTTTTCTGCTTCTCACCGAGTTCTTTTCCAAGAGAACTTTTCTGCATCTTCCTAGTTCTCTTGGAAAGCTAAAAGCTCTTGAAGACCTAATACTCTCTGGTTTCTCAAAGCTCAAGAGTTTTCCAACGGACACAGGAAACATGAAACATTTGCGGATCTTACTGGTTGATGGCACAGCGCTAGAAGAGATTCAAATGATATTGCACTTCAAAGAATCACTCCAGCATTTATGCTTGAGTGGAAATAGCATGATCAACCTGCCAGCTAACATCAAACAACTTAATCATCTGAAGTGGCTTGACTTGAAGTTCTGTGAGAATCTCATAGAGCTTCCCACACTTCCTCCAAACCTTGAATACTTAGACGCACATGGATATCACAAACTGGAACGCGTTATGGATCCGCTGGCCGTTGCTTTGATCACTGAGCAGATTTGTTCTACATTCATTTTCACTAACTGCACAAATCTGGAAGAAGATGCAAGGAACACTAACACATCCTATGCAGAACGGACATGCCAGCTACACGCATTTAAGTGTTACGATATGGTATTCTCTCACTCCCTTTCACTTTTAAAGTTTCCTTCTATTTCAGAATTTGCTAGAGCTTACGCTTTGATTTTACATTCCGGCTTCAGGGTTTTGTTTCGAGAGCATCCTTCAAGACATGCTTTCCTGGATGTGAAGTTCCCTTATGGTTCCAGCACCAAGCTGTCGGATCAGTGTTAGAGAAAAGACTGCAACCAAATTGGTGTGACAATCTGGTTTCTGGTATAGCACTGTGTGCTGTTGTCTCATTTCAGGATAACAAACAGTTGATCGACTGTTTCTCAGTGAAATGTGCCTTGGAGTTCAAAGACGACAACGGTTCTTGCATCAGCTCTAATTTCAAAGTAGGAAGTTGGACCGAATCGGGAAAAACTAGCTCAGACCATGTATTCATCGGCTACACCAGTTTCTCAAAAATCACAAAACGTCCGGAGAGCAACTACTTGGGTAAATGTATACCCACAGAAGCTACACTTAAATTCAATGTGACAGATGGTACACATGAAGTGATGAAGTGTGGGTTTAGATTGGTATATGTGGAACCAAACAACCTCCTTAGCAAAGAAAAATCTTCATCAGGACAGTTTAGTTGTGGTGAGAAAATCATTGGTTGCCTCATTGTGGGGTTTTTGTATGTATTTATGTTATATCCTTTGAAATTCTTGATGTATGGTTGCCCGGTCATTGCTTGTTGTGGATTCTTTGGGACATTGTTTCTTCTACTCAAGGAAAAGTGGAATTCTTCAAACCCACAGAGGCCAGAACAAGAACATGCGAGCTTACGTGAGGACGATGAAACCAAGATGCCCTCTGGACCCGAGACTTGAACACAATGATCAGGACACGGTTCCATTACTGTACTTGTGTTTTTTTTTTTGGGTGCCTCTTTTTTTTTTTTTTTTATTATTACATATAAAAACTTCTGTAATAACTTAAAGATTTAAGCTTTAGCAGAATTCAAAGAATGAAACTTTACACTCACGAATTCAAATAATCAGATCGGATCGCTGTTAGATTCCGACGGAGGAGATTTTTTTGGCGATGTTGAGATCACGGCGTTCACGTTCCCGTCACGGCGCACAAGCTTGTGCCGTTATGTCTGCCGTTCTTCTTCTCGCTTCCGTCTCTCTTCTCTACACTCGTCTCTCACTCTTCTCATCTCACTCGCCGAATCACCTCCGCTCCGGCTCCACAGAAGACGCTGTTTTGTTCCCGGATTCTCTCCTCGTTTCAGATTCCGACGTTGAAACCACCGGCGGAGGAGGAAGAGGATCTACTACCTCAACCGAAGATAGAATCGACGAGCACGACGATGCGATTGAAGACGACGGCGGTTCGAATGAGGAAGATGAGAATCAGGACGCAGAGCAAGAGCAAGAAGTGGATCTTAATCGGAACAAGGGTGGTTCTTCTTCTTCTTCGTCTTCGTCTTCTGGGTTTTACTTCGATCATGTTAATGGAGTTATCAGAAGAGCTTTCAATAAACGATCTATTGATGAATGGGATTATGATTACACAGGTTTTAGTATTGATTCGGATAATTTAGGAGATAAGAGTAGAGCTGCGTTTGGATCTGATGATGTTCCATTAGATGAATCGATTCGTAGGAAGATTGTTGAGGTTACGAGTGTGGAAGATGCGTTGTTGTTGAAATCTGGTAAGAAGGTATCTCCATTGAGAGAAGGTTGGGGAGATTGGTTTGATAAGAAAGGTGATTTCTTGAGGAGAGATAGACTGTTTAAGTCGAATATCGAGACGTTGAATCCGTTGAATAATCCGATGTTGCAGGATCCTGATAGTGTTGGGATTACTGGATTGACTAGAGGTGATAAGGTTGTGCAGAAATGGAGGTTGAATCAGATTAAGAGGAACCCTTTTATGGCAAAGAAGCCATTGAGTGTTGTTTCAGAGAAGAAGGAACCAAATGAAGTTAGAGAGAGTAGAGAAAGGATTAGGTTGCAGAATAGGGACGATGGTAGACATGGTGAGATCAAGAGAGGTGAACGTAAGACATTAGACGATGATAAGAAAATTGAGAGAAAGGAACAGACGAATACAGAATTTGAGGGGAAGCATGATGAAGTTACAGAACATATGTATGCAGATGGAACGAAATGGGGATATTATCCCGGTATAGAACTGAGTTTGTCGTTTTCGGATTTTATGGATTCGTTTTTTAGAAAGGAGAAATGTTCTATGAGAGTGTTTATGGTGTGGAATTCACCTGGATGGATGTTTAGTGTTAGACATCAAAGAGGGCTTGAGAGCTTACTTTCTCAGCATCGAGATGCTTGTGTTGTAGTTTTCTCAGAGACAGTTGAGCTTGATTTCTTCCGGAACAGCTTTGTGAAAGACGGGTTAGTGAGTAACACAGAATGCTGTCTCTTTACTCCTCCATTTAGTAATAGTTTGATTGATTGGTTTCGTTATGTTGCAGTTATAAAGTTGCTGTGGCAATGCCCAACCTTGATGAGTTGCTGCAGGATACTCCTACTCACGTATTTGCTTCTGTATGGTTCGATTGGAGAAAAACTAAGTTTTATTCTACTCACTACAGTGAACTTGTTCGGCTTGCCGCCCTTTATAAGTAAATCTTGATCACTCTCTAATCTCTTATCAAATAATTGATCACTTTTGTTACTTGAGAAATGAAGCATGATTGCTTAGTGATTGCATATTGATGCAGATATGGCGGGGTTTATCTCGATTCTGATGTGATAGTTTTGGGTTCATTATCGTCACTGAGAAATACTATTGGCATGGAGGATCAGGCAGCCGGTGAATCACTCAACGGTGCTGTTATGTCATTCGAAAAGAAAAGGTTCATAAACACAAATCAATATGCTTTGCTACATTAGAAACATCGATTCCCATCTTAGTAACCAACAATGTTTCTGTCTGATGTTTTAACTTTTAACCACTCTCTGCAGCCCATTCTTACTTGAATGCTTAAACGAGTACTACTTAACTTATGATGATAAGTGTTTGCGATGCAACGGAGCTGATCTCTTGACTCGAGTAGCTAAACGGTTTCTGAACGGGAAGAACAGGCGTATGACTCAACAAGAGCTGAACATTCAACCTTCTTCTGTTTTCTTCCCAATCAGCTCACAACAGATAACAAAGTAAAGCTCTCTCTATGACTTTTTGTTCAACAAATTCCTTGATTGAGCAAAGCTTTTAACTTTGATCCTGTTTTTATTTTGGTGAAGCAGCTATTTTGCATACCCTGCAATAGAAGATGAGAAATCGCAGCAAGACGAATCGTTCAAGAAGATCCTCAACGAGTCCTTAACGTTCCATTTCTGGAACAGCATAACTTCCTCACTGATCCCTGAACCTGAGAGCCTTGTGGCTAGGTTCCTTGATCGTAGTTGTATCAGATGCTCCGATGTATTATAAAACTATTTTTTAGTAAAACCATCTTATATATAAAGATTACATTTTTTCAACTCTCTCTCACTCTCTATGCAAGAGTAAGTAGAAGAAGTGGACGAGCCATTAAAGCTCCAATGTTCTCTCTTCTTTCTAGGTCAAATCGATTCCTTCTTAGACCTTTTGTGATACCCAATTCTCTCTGTTCTCTTTTCTTCTTCAGATTGATCTCTTCCGATCACGAATCCAATGATTTATCTCCTCCTCCTTCTCCATCATCTTCACATTCTCAATCTCTCGTTAGATCAGTCTGTTCATTGGTCTATAACTCCTATCTTCGTCAAAACCATGTCATACAATCCCCACACCGCGTCAATCTCGACTTCGATGCTAATTCTCTTACCCATGAGCAAGCAATCACTGTGGTGGCTTCACTCGCGAGCGAATCTGGTTCGATGGTGGCTCTTTGTTTCTTCTATTGGGCAGTGGGTTTCGAAAAGTTTCGACATTTCATGAGATTGTATCTCGTAACTGCTGATTCTTTGATTGCTAATGGAAATTTGCAGAAAGCTCACGAGGTAATGCGATGTATGCTTAGAAATTTCTCGGAGATTGGGAGATTGAACGAGGCTGTTGGTATGGTTATGGATATGCAGAATCAGGGATTATCACCTAGCTCGATAACTATGAATTGTGTTCTTGAGATTGCAATTGAGTCAGGTTTGATTGAATATGCAGAGAATGTGTTCGACGAAATGTCTGTGAGAGGAGTTTGTCCGGATTCTAGTTCTTTTAAGCTTATGGTTATTGGTTGTTTTAGAGATGGTAAGATTCAGGAAGCTGATAGGTGGTTAAGCGGAATGATTCAAAGAGGATTTATTCCTGATAACGCTACGTGTACCTTGATTCTTAGTGCCTTGTGTGAGAATGGTTTAGTAAATAGAGCGATTTGGTATTTCCGGAAGATGATTGATTTAGGGTTTAAGCCAAACTTGATAAATTTTACGTCTTTGATTGATGGGTTATGCAAGAAGGGAAGTATCAAGCAGGCTTTTGAGATGTTAGAGGAAATGGTTAGGAACGGTTGGAAACCAAATGTGTATACACACACGGCTTTGATTGATGGGCTATGTAAAAGAGGATGGACAGAGAAAGCGTTTAGGCTGTTCCTGAAACTCGTTCGTAGTGATACTTACAAACCCAATGTGCATACCTATACCTCGATGATTGGTGGGTATTGCAAAGAAGATAAGTTGAACCGTGCAGAGATGTTGTTTAGTAGAATGAAAGAGCAGGGTTTGTTTCCTAACGTGAACACGTATACAACGCTCATTGATGGTCACTGTAAAGCTGATAACTTTGATAGAGCGTACGAGTTGATGAATTTGATGGGTGATGAAGGTTTTAGGCCGAATATTTATACGTATAATGCGGTTATAGACAGTCTCTGTAAGAAATCAAGGGCACCTGAGGCATATGAGTTGCTGAATAAAGCATTCTCTTGTGGATTAGAAGCTGATGGAGTTACTTACACTATTCTTATTCAAGAACAGTGTAAGCAAAGTGACATTAAGCAAGCTCTTGCTTTCTTCTGTCGGATGAGTAAGACTGGTTTTGAAGCCGATATGCGCCTGAACAACATACTGATAGCTGCATTTTGTAGGCAAAAGAAAATGAAGGAAAGTGAGAGGCTTTTTCAGTTAGTGGTGAGTCTTGGATTGGTTCCAACGAAGGAGACTTATACGTCTATGATAAGCGGGTATTGTAAAGAAGGTGACATTGATCTGGCTTTGAAATATTTTCACAACATGAAGAGGCATGGTTGTGTTCCTGATAGCTTCACATATGGTTCACTAATAAGCGGTCTCTGCAAGAAGTCCATGGTGGATGAAGCTTGTAAGCTTTACGAAGCGATGATTGACAGAGGTTTATCTCCTCCTGAGGTAACTCGGGTCACATTAGCATATGAGTATTGTAAGAGGAATGATTCATCCAACGCAATGATTCTTCTTGAACCTTTAGATAAGAAGCTGTGGATTAGAACGGTTAGGACACTTGTTAGAAAGTTATGTAGCGAGAAGAAAGTCGGAGTGGCAGCTCTGTTCTTTCAGAAATTGTTGGAGAAGGACAGTAGCGCTGATCGGGTTACCTTAGCTGCTTTCACTACAGCTTGTTCTGAGTCTGGCAAAAACAATCTTGTTGCTGATTTGACCGAGAGAATCTCCAGAGGAGTAGGCTAGTAGTGATACGTCTCCCTCAGTTGCTTTGTGCTCTCTGTTTGAATAGCGAATACACATTGTGGATCAAGAAACCGTGGAATGTAACCGCGTTGAGGCAAGGACATGGAATGCTGTTGTTGCGTTCTGAATCATATTGGTTTTTTATCGCCTGATAAGTAGAAAGACTGGAGAGTGGGATTTCGACTATTATAACGAAGACATGGGTGTGAATCTATCTATCAAGATTCTAGAAATTGAACAACAAGACCTCTCTTCTTTGCTCTGTGGCAATTCCACAGCCTTGAATGGCCGAGTTAAACCTTCTCTGTCGCCTTTCTTCTTGAATTGTTTGATCATGTTGGTTGAGGGTTAAATTCTTACTGATGTAAAAGTACAAAAATTCTGACAAAAGAGAAGTGGATTCTGTAAAAGTAAGTAAAAATATGTGAACTTTTTTGTTTTTTCATTGCAAAGGTTTGTACTTTTTTAGAATTGAATATTCCTCAGAAAGCATCCAAATGATCACAGGTGACTCGGTTGGGCGTGACAAAAGCAGTGACATACTTGGTTGCCAAAATTGACTCTCTAACCATTTTGGACTATGTATATATATAAACTGGATCAGGTGAATCTTTAACTATATAGCTCCTGGTTGATGTCTTATTCCACAATCATTAGCAACACCAGCTTCCTCTCTCTCGCTTCAAAGCTCACTACTCGTGGATCTCGTCTTCAGGTACACAACAATTGATTTTCATTTGATTTCCAAATTTCATTTCTCTTTGTGCATACTTGCATTAGATTCTTACAGTTTCTGGGTTTGTGTTTGATCTGGGTATGGTCTCGATGATGCATCAAAATCTGACAATTTTCAAAAGAAAAATTGATTTTGAGCTAAAAGTTATCAACTTTTGATCCGTTTGGGTCCATACCATGATGTTCTGTTTTTGTTCATGAACCTCTCTGAAATTTGATCCCTATGCATTTGATTTTTCATCAGTGTACACTATCAATGGCTCGATCTGCGGTTGATGAGACATCAGATTCAGGAGCTTTTCAAAGAACTGCATCAACATTCCGTAACTTCGTTTCAAGAGATTCAAATTCTCAGTTTCCAGCTGAATCTGGTAGATACCATCTTTACATATCGTATGCTTGTCCATGGGCTTCTAGATGCCTTTCATACTTAAAGATCAAAGGACTCGACGATGCAATAAGCTTCTCGGTGCGTAGATTCAACTCTTTAACACTGCTTATTGTCATGTAGAATCATACCATTTCCTGATTGTATTGATCGAAATAGTTCTTTGTATTGATTTCCATCAGTCTGTAAAACCCATTTGGGGAAGAACCAAAGAAACTGATGAGCATATGGGATGGGTCTTTCCGGGTTCAGATTCCGAGGTTCAAGGAGCTGATCCTGACAATCTTAATGGTGCTAAGAGTGTAAGAGAACTCTATGAGATTGCTAGCCCAAACTACACCGGGAAGTATACTGTTCCTGTAAGTCTTTTGGCTTCTCAATGTCTTTTAAGTCTCTTTCAGTCGGAAGTAGTTGATCGTGCGTTTCGGTTTTTATGTCAGGTTCTGTGGGATAAGAAGCTCAAAACTGTTGTTAACAACGAGAGTGCAGAAATAATCCGGATGTTCAACACTGAGTTCAATCATATTGCTGGAAATCCTGATCTCGACCTTTACCCTACTCATCTCCGAGCTAAAATCGATGAAACTAATGAATGGATCTACAATGGGATAAATAACGGTGTCTATAGATGCGGGTTTGCAAAGAAACAAGGACCTTATGAGGAGGTAAGTGTGGAAGCCGTGAATAGCTATTACAGCATATGCTAATTGATCCCATGAGAATGTAAAGTTTATGGTTCTTATATGCAGGCAGTTGAGCAAGTGTATGAAGCATTAGACAGATGCGAGGAGATTCTTGGAAAACATCGGTACATCTGTGGTAACACTTTGACTGAAACAGATATCAGATTGTTTGTCACCCTTATAAGATTTGACGAGGTAATTGATTCGAGTTCCTACTGTCAAACCGAGAAAAAGAAATACACAATATGCGAACGAATCTGTAATATTGAAACGTTGATGCAGGTTTATGCAGTCCACTTCAAATGCAACAAGAAACTGATAAGGGAGTATCCAAATCTGTTCAACTACACGAAAGACATTTTCCAAATCCCCGGTGTGAGTAGCACGGTGAACATGAATCACATCAAGCAGCATTACTATGGAAGCCACCCGTCGATTAACCCTTTCGGGATAATCCCTCATGGACCAAACATAGATTACTCTTCGCCTCATGATCGACACAGATTCTCCAAATGAAAAACATCTCATCAAAGATCAAATCTTTTACACATGAGTTGAGTTCTGCCTTTCAGAAAGTTAGAATCATCTTTACCAAAGAAGCTTAAGTTGTTGTCTTTAACATTGTTATTGACGTTGAGTTCTATGTTATGAGAAAAATAAAAGCTTTCTGTTTAATATGTTACAGTATGCAATCTCCACGGTTGAAAACAATGTTTGTTTGAAGTTTGTTTTTACTGCAATCACATTGAAACTTCGAAGCTGGCGGATTAGGGGCTTATGTGATCAAAAACAAAAGTAAATAGCAAATTGAGAAACAAGCAAACTTGTTTAGATATGGTATAAAAATTTGATATCATTACAATCATTCTGGGGTGTCTTATTTAACGGGAAAATTCCCAAAAAAAACCCCAACTAATTAATATTTGCCAGAAAAAAACCCATACTTTTTTCGTTGGCCAAATAAAACCTCAACTAATTTTCTGGTTGCTAATAAAACCCGAACTATTTTTGGATTCCGAATTCCTCTCGTCTCTGTTACGGAGGTTAACGTCGTCAACGAAAATCTTAAACGCTGTTAGGTTAATAAACACGTGGTTAATAAAAGACGATTATACCCTTTCTTTGCAAACACACATAATCGAGCTTGAATCATTTCTCCCCCAAATCGAAAACAAATTAGGGTTAGGGTTCTTCAGAATCCCATCCCAAATCGATTTGGGCGTTCTCGATGTCGACAGTCTGAATCGAGGCGTTTGTGTTTGAGAAGAGATACAAGAGCATTGGAGAAGATGAGGTATGCGTTTCGGTACTCGATTGTTAGGGTTTTGGTTTGAAATCGATTTGGGTTTCGGGTTGGTTTTCGAAATCGAGTGCGAGATGGACTTGGGAACTCGATTTAGGGTTCTAATCGAGACTCGGGTAGTCTGATTTCCTGCTTCGAATTTTTCAATCTCTTCTTCTTTGTTAAATCCCGAGCCTGTCGTCTGAATAAGAGATTTCAAATGGCGAATCTCATCCCTCGCCTCCAATAAACTCATCTTCTGCCAATTACATTGTTTCTCAACATCAACCCATGAAACAAAGCCATGGACATCACATTTGTAAAATCTTCTTCCTGGATTATCATCTGTCCATGCCTTCAATTTAAATGTAGACCTACCACAGTTACAAGCACGTCCCCAGCTCGCCTCTCCATAACTCTTGCTGCTGTTGCCGGATCTAGAGCTCTGAGTAGACATAATCGAAATAACCAGAGAAGAGTGAAAGAAAAGAGAGGAAATGTTTTTAGATTTAGGGATTCAAAGAAAAGAGCTCGATTATGTGTGTTTGCAAAGAGAGGGTATAATCGTCCTTTATTAACCACATGTTTATTAACCTAACAACGTTTAAGATTTTCGTTAACGACGTTAACCTCCGTAACAGAGACGAGAGGAATTCGGAATCCAAAAATAGTTCGGGTTTTATTAGCAACCAGAAAATTAATTGAGGTTTTATTTGGCCAATGAAAAAAGTATGGGTTTTTTTCTGGCAAATATTAATTAGTTGGGGTTTTTTTTGGGAATTTTCCCCTTATTTAACTAATTTTAAGTTGGGGGCTATTTTGTAATCAATAAAACCAAAACCAAAAAGTTCCTTCATATGAAAATTGTTTTTCTCATTTGACCCAGTTTTCGCAAAAGTCATCACTACGGCTATGAAACTCCGATCAAAACCACCGGAGAAGAAGAAGAAGAGGAGGACGACAGATGATTCGTCACCAACTCCGTCGTCGTCATCTCCGTCGTTTTCTTCTCTCCCAGACGAAATCGCCGTGAACTGCTTAGCTCGGATCTCGAGGTCGTATTATCCGTCACTCTCAGTCGTTTCGAAAAGCTTCCGCTCAATTCTCTCTTCCGCCGAGCTCTACGCAGCCAGATCTCACCTCGGAAACACCGAGCAGTGTGTCTATGTCTGTCTATGGGATAAAAGTTATCAATTTCCCAAATGGTTTACACTCTGGACTAACCCTAATCGAGCCAACTCCATGATTGAGAAGAAGAGGAAGAAAAAGAAGATAATTATGGTTCCAGTTACCTCTTCTAATTTTCCATATGTATCACAATCCGCCGTAGTTGTTGGTTCTGACATTTATCTAATCGATAGAGCACCTTCCTCTGCTGTGCCTGTGAGGGTCCTCACTTGTGGCAGTCATACTTGGCGTGATGCCCCTAGTATGACCGTAGTCCGGAAATATCCAAATACATATGTTTACAATGGGAAAATCTATGTAATGGGAGGGTGTGAAGGATTAGAGGATGAACCATGGGCTGAGGTATTTGATACAAAGACTCAGACTTGGGAACCCCTTCCTGATCCGGGTACTGAGGTACGTAAAAATTACATTTGCAGTATCGGAGAGATCGAAGGAAAGATTCAGATTCACTTTGGGAAATTAAAGGAGATGTATGCTTATGATACGAAGCAATGTAAATGGGAAAACCGTGTAAACAAATATGCTTGGTATGGGAGGCCAGAATGTATGATTGAGAATGTATCCTTCTCCTTTGCTTCCGAAGGTGGTATATACAGTCAAGGCCAGTTCCGGTGGTATGACAAAAAAAAGGGTTATTGGAAAGAGGTGAAAGGGTTAGACTCACTATTAGAGAAGTACAGGAAGAATGGTGGCTCAAGTCATAATACGACTAAACTAGTTAGCTGTGGTGGGAAACTCTTACTTATTTGGGAAGGGTATATGAAGCATAATCCCAACAATAGGAAGAAGATTTGGTGCGCGGAAATCGGGATAGAAAATCATGATGGAGATGAGCTTTGGGGAAATGTTGAGTGGTTTGATGTTTTGCATACCGTCCCCACATCATGTCAGCTCTTGCATTGTCTCGCTGTCTCGGTTTGATTGACTTGTATCCAGGTATGATCAATTCAAAATCAGTTTGTAGGATCTAACTCTAGTATCTGGAAAGAGTTGTTTTAGTTCTTAACTGTAGCAAAACAGATTCATGTTTGGTCAATATCTCTTAGTTAAGTCTTCATCACCTTTCTCTACACTGACCTACATGGATCCCTTTTGGCTAAGTTTGAGTTCATTTTGTTTAAAGAGAAAGTGCATGCTTCCTCTATACGATTTTCCTAAATTGGAGATTAGAAAGTATTTCTCTCTGTACTTATATGATGTTAGTATGTATAACAATATATGAATGGATTGTTGACCAGTTGGAAAGAGGACAAGGAAGCCGAGGCCAAAGGAGGAGAGCAACAAAGAGTTAGGAGATTAATTAGTTAAGGTTAACAACCTCATTTTGTCAAACTAGCTACTATGGCAAATTAGTATTCGTCTTTGGATATATTTATCTAATCCCTTGTTATTTTGTGTTATACTGGTAATTGAGTTTTTCTTTATTAACAAGTAAGTAGGGATGTATTGAAAAACAAAAAATCCATTGGTATGATCTTTTCGATTAACCCTATCGGGATCATCCTTCACGAAACAAACATCGATTACTTTTCGTCTCATGATAGACACAGTTTCTTCTCATGAAGATGATCTAATCATCTTTCGAACTTTGTGTAGAGTTCTGTGACTTCTGACTTCAGTTAGTTAGAAACATCCTCATGAGTTGCGTCTTTAACATCCTTCGTTCCCTTTTAACAACAATGTTTGTTCGAAGTTCTACATATTAAGGGGCTTCTGTGATCGAAAATAAAAGTAGAGAACAAATTGGTGAAAGAAAAAACATTTGGGTTGTATTTTTTAGTTCATATTAGTTTTTCTCATTTGACCCATTTACACAAAATCCCGTCACTTCCGCTAATTGCAATCACTGTCGCTATGAAACTCCAGGTGGAACCACCGGAGAAGAAGAAGAGGAAGAAGAAGACTAAGAACTCGTCTCCACCACATTCACCTCCATCGTCGTCGTCATCTCCGTCGCTTTCTTCTCTCCCAGACGAAATCGTCGTGAACTGCTTAGCTCGGATCTCAAGGTCCTACTACCCAACACTCTCACTCGTTTCGAAAAGCTTCCGCTCAATTCTCTCTTCCACCGAGCTCTACGCAGCCAGATCTCACCTCGGAAGCACTGAACAGTGTGTCTATGTCTGTCTATGGGATGATAGTTATCAATTTCCCCAATGGCTTAGACTCTGGGATAACTCTAATCGAACCCTAGCCACCTCCATGATTAAGAGCAGAAGGAAGAAAAAGAAGACAACTAAACAAATGTTGGTTCCGATTACCTCTTCTACTTTTACATCAGTATCAAAAGCCACCGTTGTTGTTGGTTCTGAAATTTATGTAATTGGCGGACCAGTCGACTCTGAACCATCCTCCACAGTTCGGGTGCTTGATTGCTGCAGTCACACTTGGCGCGATGCATCGAGCATGACTATAGCCCGAATGAATGCGTTGGCATGTTTCCACGATGGGAAAATATATGTAATGGGAGGGTGCCAAGGATTAGAGGAAGAACCATGGGCTGAGGTGTTCGATACAAAGACTCAGAATTGGGAACGCCTTCCTGATCCGGGTACTGAGGTACGTAAGTGTTCCATTTACAGTATTGCAGAGATTGAAGAAACGATTCAGTTTGGGAATGTAAACGAGACGTATGCTTACCACACGAAGCAATGTAAATGGGAAAGCCGTGTAAAACAAAAGTTGAAGTCAGAATGTATGATTGAGAATGTTTCATATGGCTACTGGAACATGCGCTTGTTGTGGTATGACAATGATATACAAAAGGATTATTGGAAAAGATTGGAAGGGTTAGACTCACTAGATGAGATGTACATGAGGAATGGTGGCTCAAGTGGTAATACGACTAAACTAGTTAGCTGTGGTGGGAAACTCTTGCTTTTATGGGAAGGGTATATGAAGCATAATCCCAATAATAGGAAGAAGATTTGGTGCGCGGTTATCGCGATAGAAAAGCGTGATGGAGGTGGGGTTTGTGGAATTGTTGAAAGGGTTGATGTTTTGCATACCGTCCCCAGATCATGTCAGCTCTTGCATTGTCTCGTTGTCTCGGTTTGATTGACTTGTATCCAGGTATGATCAATCGTTCTTAATTCAAAATCAGTTTCTAGGATCTAACTGTATTATCTGGAAAGAGCTGTTTTATTCCTTAACTTAAGCAAAAGTGCAAAACAGACCCATGTTTGGTCAATATCCCTTAGTGAGGTCTTCATCATCTTTCTCTACACTTATCTACATGGATCCCTTTGAGTTTATTTTGTTTGATGAAAAAGTTTATGCTTCCTTTATACAATTTGCTAAAATTGGAGATTAGAAAGTATTATTTTCCTTGTTCATATATATGTTTGCATGTATAACATAGTATGAATGGATTGTTGACCAGTTGGAAAGAGGAGAAGGATCCAGAGGCAAGAGGATGGCAACAAGAGTGAAGGAGATTAATTTAGTTAAGGTTAACAGCCACATTTTGTCAAACTAACTACTATGGCAAATTAGTGTTTGTCTAATCCCTTGTTATTTATGAATCTGATTTGTTGTTTGTGTGATCATGCTACTAATTGAGTCTTTCTTTACTAACAAGTAGAGATGTCTTGCAAAACCAAAAATCCGTAGGTATGATCTTTTCGATTAACCCTTTCAGGATCATCCTTCACGAACAAAAACATCGATTACTCTTCGCCTCATGATTGACACAGATTCTCTCTTCTTGAAGAAAATCTCAGCAAAGATAAAATCTATCACACTTGAGTTGTGTTGTGTCATCTTCATCAACAGATCATGAGTGATGCTGAGTTCTATTCTATGTTTTGAGTAGGGGCTTCTGTGAACAAAACAAAAGTAGAGACCAAATATGTAAAAGGAAAATAACAATTGTGTTTTAATCTGAAACAATGTGCCCACGTTCATAATAATTCCAAGAATGGGCGAAGTTTTTTGAAGTATTTCGAAAGAAAAGTTAAATAATATTTTTATATTATTGCTTTTATGTCTCAATTATTCAATTTTCAATCTTGCGTTATCCATTTGAAGATATAGTCTTGTTTTTAATTGATCAATCACTATGACAATTATTTTTCTTCCACCTTGACTTGTACGGCTTATATTACGAAATTTGTTTTATTTTTCACCCCTTTTTCTCCAATCCCTCAATTTCTTCTCACCAACCCTAATTTCTCCAAATTGGGTAACTACGATTTCGTCACCTCTCCTTCAAATTACTTGGCTATCGATTCAATTCAACTATGTCTCTATTACTGGAAGAGATCATTCGATCAGTAGAGGCTTTGCTAAAGCTCAGAAATCGGAATCAGAAACCTTATGTTGACCCGAATCTAGACCCGGTTCTTCTAGTTCCAGGAATCGCTGGATCGATTCTCAACGCTGTTGATCATGAGAACGGGAATGAAGAAAGGGTTTGGGTTAGGATCTTTGGTGCTGATCACGAGTTTCGAACAAAGATGTGGTCTCGATTTGATCCTTCAACTGGTAAACAAAAAGTGTTTACTTTTTTCTCATAAACACTTCAATTTGTGCAAATTAAGAAAGTGATCAGCTTTGCATGTTAATCTCTTAGCATTTTTAATCTGAAACAGGTAAAACGATCTCTCTTGATCCAAAAACTAGTATTGTTGTTCCTCAAGATAGAGCTGGGCTACATGCAATTGATGTCTTAGACCCAGATATGGTATGGTTCAATCTCTAGCTGTTTTGGTCTTTGTTCTTAGATTGTTGTTTATATAGCTTTTTCTTTTCTCATTGAGATCTATGAACTCTTTTTGTAGATTGTTGGCCGCGAGTCTGTGTACTATTTCCACGAGATGATTGTTGAGATGATCGGATGGGGATTCGAAGAAGGGAAAACCCTTTTTGGTTTTGGTTATGATTTTCGCCAAAGCAATAGGTAATGCATATTTAATCTCTTCTTCGGTGTAAACATTGATCGGTGTATTGACTGTTTTGTGTTGCAATGATCTAGATTGCAGGAAACGTTGGACGAATTTGCTAAGAAGTTGGAAACAGTTTATAAAGCTTCAGGAGAGAAGAAGATTAATGTTATAAGTCATTCTATGGGAGGATTGTTGGTGAAATGTTTCATGGGTCTGCATAGTGATGTATGTAAATCGTTTTTTCTTTATTTGTAAGTCTTTTCTAAGATTTATCTTGTCGCATCTCAATCTGACATTTTTGGTTATCAGATATTTGAGAAGTATGTACAGAATTGGATTGCTATTGCTGCTCCATTTCGAGGTTAGTTCTCGGACTTGTAGTACTTCTGATAGTACTCGAGACAACTACCAGACTGATTGGTTTCGCATTGTTGATTCAGGTGCTCCTGGATATATCACATCGACTTTACTGAATGGAATGTCGTTTGTCAATGGTTGGGAACAGAACTTTTTCGTCTCTAAGTGGAGCATGCATCAGTTGGTAATGATCAATCAACAATAATTCAATTTGGTTATAAAACTTGTTTGTGTGATCTCTTCTAGAGATTGGCTGATATAATTTTCCCCTCGTTTCTTCTGTTTTTTTCAGCTTATTGAGTGTCCATCCATATACGAGCTGATGTGTTGTCCGTATTTCAAATGGGAACTCCCTCCTGTCTTAGAGCTGTGGAGAGAGAAAGAGAGCAATGATGGAGTTGGAATCTCTGATGTTGTTCTTGAGTCTTACCGTAGCCTGGAAAGCCTTGAAGTTTTTACGAAATCTCTTTCGAATAATACAGTAAGTTACACGCGACCACCATCTTTCATTAAATGATGTAGTTGTAAACACACAAACGTTGCATTGACTGATCCTTTACTCAACACAAATGTTCAGGCTGATTATTGTGGAGAGTCGATCGATCTTCCTTTTAACTGGAAGATCATGGAGTGGGCTCACAAAACCAAGCAAGTATTAGCCTCTGCCAAGCTGCCTCCTCAAGTTAAATTCTATAACATATATGGGACCAATCTAGAAACCCCGCATAGTGTTTGGTAATATTTCTTTATTTAAGGTCTCAGTTAGGAGTTTTTTTTCGTGCAACTTGTTTCGCCTTTTCTAAATTTTATATATATACTCCCCTGCAGCTATGGGAATGAGAAGATGCCCGTTAAAGATCTAACGAATCTAAGATACTTCCAGGTAACACTATTTTCATCCTTTTTCAGGTATTAACTATCATTGTAATAGGCAAGAAGTTACCTTCTTATCATCTTCTAATCTTAGATCATATTTTCTTATAATCTCAGCCGACATATATATGTGTTGACGGTGATGGCACAGTCCCGATGGAATCTGCCATGGTATGTTGCATGATCGTGTTTCTTATAAACTCATCACAAGAGTAGGAAATATTGAATTTGATCAGTTAGGTTGATTATTTCTCTTTGTAACGGTTCCTTTGGTTGTTTCTTTCCTAGGCGGATGGGCTCGAAGCAGTAGCAAGAGTTGGAGTCCCTGGTGAGCACAGAGGAATTCTCAACGATCACCGTGTCTTCCGAATGCTCAGAAAATGGCTAAATGTAGGCGAACCTGACCCGTTCTACAACCCAATAAACGATTATGTCATCCTCCCCACGACATTTGAAATGGAGAAATACCAGGAGAACAGACTGGAGGTTGCTTCCGTGAAAGAATCGTGGGATATCATATCGGACGACAACAACATTGGTACAGCCGGGTCAACCGTGAGCTCTATATCAGTATCTCAACCTGGAAATGATCAAAACCCTCGAGCTGAAGCTCATGCAACCTTAACCGTCCAACCACAAAACGATGGTAGACAACATGTCGAGCTCAATGCTGTAAGTGTCTCTGTTGATGCATAAAAACGCATCTTACCTTTGTAATGTGTCGTCAAGCGTGTCCTTTATGTCTGTATATATAACAAATAAGTCTCATGCCTGGTGTACATAAATCATCATAATAATAAATTTCGTGTTCTTATTATTGTTTAAGCTTACAAGTTAGGATTCTTTATTCTTGGGTCTAATAGCAACACCTTTCACAATCAGACCAGACTTCCACTGTTCACTTTTAACCTCCAACATCGAAAACTCAATCTTGCCGGAGAGATGTTCTGGCGATGTCATGAACTCACCGGTCTGAATCTCCACCCACCGGTTCCTCTCTAACATATTCATAGCTTCTCGCCGCTCTTTGGTTTCTCCAGTAGGTAAAACCATTTTGAAGCTAACCCGATATTCCCATCCTTGCGCAGAATCTATAGCCTAACCACAAACGCAACTCGTACAAACTATTGGGACTTAGATCCTCCATCTCGAACTTCTAACCAAGCATACTTGTTCCATCTTTGCAACCTCAATTCTTACATCACTGAAGACAAATATGCAGATTTCAGTGGTAAAACATTTACATGTTTTGTATAGTATAACATGCTATAATTAAACTTATTAACATATCATGTTAAACAAATAAATACCATGTCAATTATTTTCCTCGAGGTTCTATTCTCTAATTTTTATATCTTCTTATCAATAACAAAAGAAACCATTTCATGTGCTAATAAACACTAAGATTCAAAAGCAAATTTGTATATCTTGCTCGAGGTTCAAAAGCTCATCCTCTCAGCTTTGAGAGAAGAATCTTTCTCCTTTTCGGAGTAGATCTTTCACCTATCAACATGGGAGTATCTTGCTCCGTCTCAATGTCTGGAAGATCACCCAATCGCGACATTGTCTTTGCCACAAGAAAATCAACCTCATTTTTTTGCATCTCGTCAAAGTCTTTATCAGTTAGCTTCCACAACTTTTTATCAACAAAATCATAAACATTTTGCACAATAAAGTCAGGCTGCGGCGGTCCAGGATTTGGAATTTTCTTTCTATCTGGCACAAAATGTACAGTGCATTTATTCCTGACAGATTCAGCAAACACTTCATCACGATGGAAACTGTAGAAAAGGTCTCGTGAATCTCTTTGTTCCCAGTTTCTACCATCTTTTTTCTCTGCTTCTTCTAGACGATAAAACCACTGCACTTCAAGGTAGAGGTAACCTTCTTTACCTTGTTTATAAATATCCTGTCATCGAACAAACCATTTGATGAACTATAATACGACAAGAGCTAAGAACTGATAACGAGATCAACCTTTTCTAACCTTAATGATAGCAACATAGAGCTTTCGGTTTGGGACTGCTGGGATTAATAGTACCGAATCCTCCTAATAAAAATAAAGAAGGAATTATGATGTAATAGTGTAAAAGCGGTAGAAAGTAACACATAGTAGGGAAACTATAGTCTTGATGTAGATACTATTTCAGTCATATAGATAAACTTTTAATGGACAAATAAACTGTAAGCTTATTAACAAAAACTAACATTATCAAGATTAAAGACGGTTTAGTGGTTGATGTATTCTACAAGATTTTCAAATCCACATGGATTTATTTGATTTTAGATTACATTTTCTAATCTACATGGATTAGTTATGTGATTTATAATAAGCATTTTGGACTAAAAAATCGAAAAGAACTTGTTAGCATTTGTTTCTAAACTATTAATTAAATATCCACTACATTTAGTTTTGGGTTGTCCCTTCGGGGACATCCGATAAAATTAGTTCTGGGTTTTAAAACATAACTAAATCAAATAACAACATATTTTGACGACAAGAAATTCAAAATTAGTAATCGAATAAAAAAATATTATTTGGATTTTAAAATGAATTGGAATTTCATCCAATAAAGATTAAAAACTATAGGTCATATATAAGGGTGTCAAAATGGTTAACCCAAATCAAGTCAACTCATTACCCAATGAGTTTAGAGTTAAATGAGTTCATGGATTGACTTAAATCATCATCATCAACTCATTAATGTTATTATTATACTATAATAATAATAATAATAATAATAATAATAATAATAATAGTATATGACTCATATACTAACAAAAATATGTTGCAAGTAAATAAATTTAAACAAAACAGAACTCACCAGTCCATAATGTTTGAGATCAAACTCAAATTTCTTGTAATGAGATTTCTTCTCTTCTCCCTCACCCGTACACCTAATCAATTCTCCAATCGGCTGCGCACAGTCTTCCGGTTTCCATTTGTCCTCCGAAACTAAAATTTCCTTATCATTTTTTTTCCGCTTCTTCTGCTTACAATCCATTTCTTCAGTGCTCAACTTCCTATTCAATTTCGCTAGTGGAACATTGTCTTCATCTTCGCTCCTTGACATTTGAGTTGATCGTTGGATCAACATATTTCTTATGCTGGTTATAGTGAAATTTGAAAACTTCTTGGAAACGTGGGAATTATAAATCTGTAATATTTTTAAATGAGAAAGTTAATTTTGCACCTTACAATTATTGAATCATTAAGAAAACAACTTTTGAAATCAACATGATAACATAATGGCTAGCTCATACTGGTAACATTTATAGATGTAATTATAATTTGTTGTATGTGTAAGTTTTTCTGTAAAATCATGATTTATCATTTTTTTTTTCAAAATGTCTCTTAACATTTTTGTAAACACGATTGTCGTCTAGACTTAGTCAACACGACCCTCCGCTCTTGCTAGCGTTAAGATTATGGTATCAGAGCCAAAGACTCGTGTTAAGGTAGAAGGAATCATTGTTTATGACTGATAGTTTTGAATGTTCTGGAGAACGAACTCTCAAACATGACTCTTTCAAATCCTTCAAAGTCTCTACAGTTAAATCCTTCAATAAATTCTCAGTTTGCTATCTCTACTTTACCAAAAATCCAAAGAAATAATTCCCTTTCTAGACTAAATTCCTTATATGAAATAGAATATGTTCCCGGAGATCAGTTGCCGGAAACAACCCTCCCGCTGGTTAATCCTTACGAATATTTTGCTAAAAAGCCTAGTGCTTTTTCAGTAAAAGGTGTTCGTGAGCTCATCAAACCATCTTCCAGCCGACGAGTTTTAGAGTACGTACAATCCAGCAAGTTTTCATCATGTCAAGTTCCAGCCACCGAAGAAGAACAATTCATATCGCTGAACATTCCGGAGCATCTGCCGAGGCTATGGCTGCAACAGGGCTATACTCATCTACACTTTGGTGTAGTAAGAATTGGTCTAACCTTACATGCGCGAAAAGGTTTACCGGTTGTAGCACGGATAGCTTTGCTTGACTCAAGGCTCAAATCCTATCAACAAGCTTGCATCGGAACAGTACAGACAACATTGAACGCAGGAACAATATTTATAACACTGTTTCCAAACTTCAATGTCTCACTACAAGATCCAAATCTCCTAAAGGCCCTTAAGGTTCAATTACAACTGATCGGAGCACCTATGCAAGAAGAAAGTGTAGCAGCAACTCTACATCATCAGATTGTATACAGAATTCAAGATCATGCTCTTGATCTTGCATTACCAGCATCAGACGAGGCTTTATATCTTGAAGTCACATCGGCATCTCAGGCACCCAACTCTATTCAAATCCCAAGACAGATATCTCGAGAAGAATTGCTGAAAAAACTACCGGAGTCATGGGTGACAAGTTATGAGAAGATACATCAAGCATCTCAAGCACCGATCCAGTCAACTGAAGTAAGCTTTCACTCTAGAGGCGATGGAACCACAGAAATAAAATTCGAAAAGCCAAGATCGTCTTTTCAAAAGAAGCTCTTTACTCAATTTACTATCCAAATTGAAGAGCAAGATCTCTATGATCCGATAAAGAAGAAAGAGCTTCAACCAATCGCTTTTGGTCAGGATGGAACTGTTGTATATCCATTCAAAGATGAGAACGGACATTGTTACTTCGATGTCTGCTCATGCACCGCATGTCTAGAAGATTTATTATGAATCAGATGAAGAAAAGCGAAGAAGACGAAGGAAGAAGAAGGATCCACTGTATAAACGCTACCTTGAAGGAGATCCTACAGTAGGTCTGCTTGGTGACGACAAATACGACTTCATAGTCGAGTATTCAACAAAGGAGGATGACTCAAACCAGCAAATCATGATGATAAAGATGGATTTTCCTCCACCAAAAGACTTTGTCAAGGACAATATTGTGCATACACCAAAAATCGTTCCAAACAACATCAACTCTTCTGGACCCGACGAATTAAGCCAAGCAGAAAAGGTTCTCAACTGGCAAACAGAAAATGCCTTTGCTCAGAACCAATTATTGACAACCATTAGCCACAAGGTTGATCAAATGTCGGAAAACAACAATAGAAGATTTAACAGTCTGCAAGGAGCCATATCAGAGATTCAACAGAAACTCAGCAACTTGCACCACGAGATGATGGCTATGGCAAAACAAATGAAGGTTGATACATCCCAGTTCAGGAGTAAAGAAGCTGAACAAACCAATCTCAAATATCAACTCAAAGACCTTCAAAAGAGTCTGGATAGCCTAGTCCAGAATTAGAGGCGTGTTAATATGTATAATCCTTTTGACTATATGACATCTGGATTACCCACATATCAAGAATCATATTCCCCAAGGTTTCTGTCCGGTTATCATGATCCAAAACCGAAACAGCCTGTACCTGGATTCTTGTCTTCTGATGAAGCTTTTACCTCTCGGTTTGGTACAACGTCAATAAGCAATTTTAAAACAAAACCAAGGCGTCAGAAGAATTCGGAATTTCAAGTAAATCCTTCCAAGAAGCCAAGTCTAGCATCTTCTTCAAGCCATGAATCGGTTCAAGAGGAAAAGAAAGAAGATATTGCGATGATCGAATTTTCAATGTCTAAATTACTAGACAACCTGGCAAAGACACCTGACGACGAAAGACGAGAATTCCAGATTCAATCAAAAGAGCAGCAGTCACAACCAATCGTTACAGTAAATCACATTTCAGCCCTTTCGGATTCAACCTCCTCCGTCGATGAATCAGAAACAGAGGAATATCTTCCAAATCAGTTTGCGATAGGAGATGAGTCACATATTCCAAAAGAAGAACCAATCTATGAAGTAGCTTCAAGCGACGAAGAGATGGGTTATGAAACTAAAGGCGTACCAAGGAAGCAGTTTGCATCAAAGATAATGGTGTTCACATTTGATGACATTCCCTTCGAAAAATGGAATAGTCGTCTTGACGAGTTCCATGCGTGGATGACCTCCGAAGCAATCACGTCCCCAACGGATGTGGTGATTCAACAATTCACATCAAGACTTTCAGGAGCATTAAAAGAATGGTGGAATTCGCTTGGAGAGTACCGACAGCAGCAAGTGTACCAAACAACGATACCTCTACTTCTTGGAGAAATACATAGAGAATTCGTTGGCACCCCAGGTCATTTAAAGGAACAACTACAAGAAGAATTCTACACAGCAAAGTGTTGCTCATTGAAGAAGAGAGATTTAGCAAAGCATTTCGAGTGACAAACTCGAAGGTATTACGCTCTCAATGGTCTAAACAATCCAAGCCTGAAGCAAGTATATCTCTCATCAATAGATGACTACCTCAGTCAACAAACGAAGCTGTATATCAGAGATCTAGGTCAGACAATCGAAGAAATCTCGATTGGACAAATCCAGCAGCAAGTGTTCAGAACCCTTGACAAGCTTTGTAAGCAAAAGGAGTTTTGGTCAGAGTTTATGGACAAATCAAAGCATCTTTCGAAGATATGTGCTCGTCCGGATCTATCCATCAAATGTTCGAAGAAGAAAAATTGTTCATGTGAAGATCGGCGAAGAGTTCATAGAAGATCCAAGAAATCATTCTTGAAATCGAAGTATTTCAACAAGATCAAACGCAAGCGATTCTTCAGGAAGAAGAGAAGCTTCAAGAAAACTTCGAGGTGTTTTCTCTGCGGAAAGACGGGGCATTTTGCAAAAGACTGTCCAAACAAGTCTAAAAAGAAAAAGCAATATCTCATTCACTCGATATCGAAGATAGCTCCAGATCTTGATATCGATAACCACGATCTTGAGTCAATACTATCTTATGATAGTGACGAGAATGATGCTATATGCAGTTATTCAGATTATGATGAATCCTCAGAATCCTCATCCGAAGATGAAAAGGACGATTGTTGTTTCAAGATTGCCCAGATGCCTCAAGAAAAGGAAATTCAGACACCTCATTTACCAGAGATGCCTCAAGAAGAAGAACTTCAGACATCGCATCTACCAGTAACCATCTTCGATCCCTCAAGAAGAGAAAAGCCAGTACATGCAATCGCATTTATCGACACGGGAGCTCATACAACAATCATGAACCCAAAGATTCTCTCACGAACCATGTGGATGCCTCATCAACAAGATTTCAGAGTCGCAAACTCTGGATCCCTCTCGGTTAAGCTGATATCAAAACCAATCACGATAGAGCTTTTTCCAGGATGTCAAGTTACTAAAGAGGTACTAGGTTCATCTGTACCTGGTAAAGACTTAATCCTCGGATGGGACGCATATTCGGTACTGAAAAAGAAGTTCGGCATTTCTCTAGAACCAAGAGGTGTGAGATGGAAAAATCTCTACAAGGCTTTTACTACGATGCATCGCCTGTTCTCAATCGAAGACTCAGTATCTGCGGGGTTCAATACAATTGAAGAAGAATTAAAGATGACATCATGCGCTGATTCACACACGGAGTTCCTTCAAAAATGTAATCATCCGCTATGGCTGAATTCAGACTTCTTCGTATCCCTACCATTCAAGGAAGACGTACACACAACACCGACAAAAGCAAGTCATGCACGAATGCCTCCAACATTGTTGCAGAAGGCAAACGAAGAATGCAATCAATTGATGGACCAAGGTATCATCTCAAGAACAAATTCTCCATGGGCATGCAAAGCATTCTACGTCAATAATCGTGCAGAACAAGCAAGAGGAAAACTCAGATTGGTTATTGACTACAAGCCATTAAACCAATATCTGCAAGACGTCAAGTTTCCTCTACCAAATAAAAGAGCGCTTCTTCAACATCTCCAAGGAGCAAAAATATTTTCGAAGTTTGATCTAAAATCAGGATTTTGGCAACTAGGGGTTCATCCTCAAGAAAGATACAAAACTGCGTTCTGCCTTCCAAATAGACATCTTCAATGGAATGTCTTACCCTTTGGTCTCAAGACGGCGCCATCACTATTTCAACAAGCAATGTTACGTATATTCGAGCCATTGCTACATACAGCTCTTATATACATTGACGACATACTCATATTCTCAAAAAATGAAGAAGAGCATATTCAGGCGCTACAGCAATTTCAAGACATAGTCAAGAAAAACGGAATCATGCTATCAGCCAGAAAGATGATAATAGCCCAGCCCAACATCGATTTTTTGGGTATGCATATCAAAGAAGGAAGTTTCATACCACAAGCCCATTTAGCTACAGAACTTCTAGATTTTCCCGATGAAAATCTTACAAGACGACAAATTCAACAGTTTCTTGGCGTGATCAATTATGTAGGAGACTTCATTCCACACCTTTCCAGAATGACGAGACCTCTACAGAAAATGTTGTCGAAAAACCCTCCTCTGTGGGCATCACGACAAACTGAAGCTATCAAAAGTCTAAAAGCAGAAGTGCAAAAGCTGCCCCCTTTAAAGATTCCTTCCTCAGGCATGCGTTTTCTACAGACAGACGCAAGTGATAAGTATTGGGGAGCAATACTGTTTGAAGAGATAGATGGGAAAAGACAAATCTGTGGATACAAGAGTGGTCGTTTCAAAGATTCAGAGCAACATTATCATTCAACGTTCAAAGAGATTTTAGCGGTCAAAAAGGCTATCGAGAAGTTTGAATTTCATCTGATAGGACACAAGTTTCGTATAGAAATGGATATGTCTTCATTTCCCAAGATGTTACAATTCAAGCAGAAGATGGTCCCACATCAACAGCTACTAAGATGGAGTGAATGGTTCTCTAAGTACGATTTCGAGTCAGTCTATTTAAAGGGCACCAAGAACACTTTAGCTGACATGCTTAGCCGAAAACCAGTAAAACAAGAGACGCCCCACGAGATACACATGATGGCTAGTTCCTCCGAATCCAAGAAAACCTGTTATGACTTTGAAGCCGACGTACCCGAAGATGTTCATCAACTCATCAGCAGAAACAAGCTTCATGAACTATTACGTACAAAGATCTTCTCATATCAATCTACAATCCTGTCGAGCTATGGAGTAAACTGTCACCACATTACTCCAATGGGAATTCATCCTGATTATCCGTTTGCACATCTCTACAGGATCGAGAATCCAAACATGCCAGAAGAAGTTCTCTGTTTCCTTTGGTATCTCTGTGCTGTCTACACTGTAGGAATTGCTTTCGACATCCAGTGGCTATACCATTACATCAACACTGTTCAAGACAAAAGAGACTGTTTCTCAACGTTCCTAAGGTGGTTTTCACCATTGTCTGTTTGGAGTGGAAAACTACGAAAATCTGCAAAAGCGACGAATCTGACATTCAAGAAGCTGAAAAGAGGTGGACTCAACCCGTTCTTCAATCCACATTCAATCTACTTCTTTCATCGTCCAGTTAAAGTCAACCGCAAGACAAGTAAGATTCTCGCTCTTCCAACTCTCATTCATCACGGTGATTTTTCAAGAGGAGTTCGTCCAGATTTCAACCTTCAAGATAACGAAGCATATGAAAACTTCCAAACTCACGCGTTTCATCTCAACAATTCAAGACAGACGTTTCCTATTCCGTTCAAACCCAACTGGGTTCACTATCCGGTCGATTATCAGATGCAGCTTGATGAAGATTTACAGTTCTACATGATGAAGTTTGACAAAGGAATACCAAACAGTTCAAAAGAAGAAACAACTTCCCAGGCGATTTCTCAAGATTACTGTGTTGATCTCTTTAAGGATGCTCAATCTCCAGATGACGAAGTAAATGTCGAAGATATCGAAGAAAAGTTCAAGTTCTGCATAAATGTTCAACCAGGAGAAGAAGCACGAATGCTCGAGGGCTCGTATGAATGTCCAGATGATCATTATGGATGCTGTGAAGAACATATGCTAGAGTTCGAAATGGATCATTAAAAGGTATGGAAAAGTAAAATAAAATAAAATATATAATATGTGTAATGTATTTAAAAATCATGTAAAATAAATAATGATGTAAGCGATGATGTAATCGTTATGTAAGCAATGATGTAAGCGATGATGTAATCGCTGAGGTAAGCGCTTATGTCAGCGCCTTAAAGCCTCCTATAAATATGTATGCACCCCTTGTAAGAAATCACAACTTGAAATATCATATAATTTCATAATAGCTTTCTCTCTCTAAAATGTCTCTCTAACTTCTCTCTAAGTTTTCCAGACTTCCTAACTTCTTCATAAGCCTTGTTTCTTTCTATTCTAAACACAGTCGCGATCCGGTATCTTTTCTTAAGGTTAGCATAAGTGGTCCGTCAATACGACGGTCGACCACGACAGTCAATAGTACTCGCCAGGGTTCACAGTTCCTAATAGTAGGTTGAGCAACACAGTAGGCAATGAGGCCCGAACCGCTCCCTTTACCTGGAATATGAACCTTTGCTTGTAAACACGATTGTCGTCTAGACTTAGTCAACACGACCCTCCGCTCTTGCTAGCGTTAAGATTATGTACTTTCTTTTACCCTCCACTTAGTCTAAATAAACATGCTACTTACAGAAAAAAAGACTTGGACGTTGAAAAAAAAAATCAGTTTCATATGTTTATAGTAATCATGTTTAACTAAATACAAAATGATAATATATATAAATATAGTACAATATATTGATAAAATCTGGCGAATGTCCATTACATAACAACCCCAACTATTTTGCATTGTTCATATTTTCTCATACAACTTCGATTTAGTAATTAAATTTTTTTGGGAAAAAGATCAATTTCAGCACTTATAATTCTGAATAATATTATTAGATAAAAGTTAATAACGACAATAATGTTTTAGTTATCAAGTGAACAAAAAATTTATTTGTTTATTACTAAGACAAAAGTTATCCGTTAATATTAAAATTAAAATAATTATTCAATTTAACACATTACTTTCATATTTCTGATATAATTTTTGGTTTAAAAAATTACAAAGGAATAACACAAAATTTTAAATATTATAACTTAACAAAACTCAAAATCAATTTTTTAAAAAACAAAAAGAAAAAGAAAAAGATTGGTAACAGTTTTGAGTTAAATGTGAGTTGCTAAAACATGATAACACAGGTTATCAATCACATCCCATGTACGAATCATTGAATATTTCAACCCACAAGTTGCAATTAATTTGACCTTTATGTTAAGACACTTTAAAAGTTTTGATAGATCAATTTGGTTAGAAACAAATTTTTCTTTCTCATTCAAATTTTAGAAGGAATCGGAATTATTAAATGTCTATATATTGCCATTGATCGTGCCTGTGACAAATACATAGTCAAGTTTAGATATATATCTAGGGGAAATTGTATATTTATGATAGTGTACTAGATTTTTTGGTGTATATATATACAAGATTGTACTGTGCATGAAAAGAAGAATTTGCATTTGTCAATGTACCGAAACACTTACAGTTACTCGTTTTTTGGTTTGTGTAATTGGGGTCTGCTTCTGCTGCAAAAAGAGAAATGTCACAAATTTTAAGAATCTTACACTAGCTCGAAATATGAACGAACCAGTAAAAAGAAAGAAAGAAATAAACGAGGAGCTATATATATAACATGCATAAAACATTTCTTTCATTATCAATTGGGTATAAAAAGAAAGTCAATGAATCGACCCAAAGACCAACAAGAACATCCAAAAGTGAGGAGCTATGACCGTTGCAAGGAGAAAAGCTAATGATGTAATTGAAGGGCTTCCATTACCTTTCTATAGCGATTTGCTTTAGCTGCAGCGGCTTCTTCCGTAGGAATAAGGTTCAGTAGTTTCTTAACCTCCACCACGATTTTGTTTACGAAATCATACTCGGTCCTGAAATAGAATGGACCACGATTGCCCCAGAACAAACAAGAATCTTCAACCCAATTTTAGTGAAGAATTATCATTATGTTAGTGATTATAAAATTCATCTAATACTTTAATTTTCTCATTGTCAATATTTATTGTTATTAGTATGAAAATTTTATAAACATTAATTCAACAACGTAAATTGAGATAATTCCTAATTAGTATTTAATACTATTTATACCCTAGCCCTTATCTAATTAGCGTTCCTTATACTTATTAATTAAATACAATTCTCTGCTTGTATAAATACTAATCTTCATGAATGCTAATTAGATTTCCACAAACTATTTCAGTAAATGAGAGGAAGGAACCTCACAAACCTGTAATCCAACGATGGCAAGCCAAACCTTTTAGGAAAATAGTTCAAAGCTTTCTCCCACTTGCGGATTCCATATAATCCGCCTCGGTGTCCCCTCTTCGTTTTCCTAAAATTAATCCCGAATTTTCCCTCAAGTTGTTTCACGTCGTCCACGGTCACTTTGTAGAAGACGGGAATGACTTTGAGTTTTCCTTCAATCATCCGTTCTTTGATCTTCACAAGCTCGTTCAAACACCATTTTGACTCTGTGTAACACTCAGAGAAGATCACCACCGCAACACTTGATTCCTCAATCCTCTTGAAGAGATCTTGGAGATCTCTGCCCCTTATCTCTGTCTCGTCTATGAAGACGTTGATGTTTTCGTTTCTCAAAGCTGGCACGAGAAAGCTCACGAAGCCTCTGCGCAACTGTTGTCCCCGGAAGTTTATGAACACTTGATGCTGCGGTGGGATCTGCCCGACCACGGAAGAAGAAGAGGAGTAGCAGGTGCTCATGGGATTAAAATGTTTGGAGGATTTTTTGTTTTTGTTGGATCTGTGTTTTTGTTTGACCTTTTGAAGGAACTGTTGCAACGTCTATGCTATACAATGCTTGAATAAATGAGATGGAAAGTATAACGTGAAGCGTGGTCTTAATATGAATTAGTCTAAGTTTTAATTTAAAATGTGAGATTTCAAGAATCTTAGAAACGTCAAGGTTTGTACAAATCAATATAGATATCAAGTCCATATAGCAGTCCATTTTATTTTAACATTAACAGATTCTATTTTAATTCTTGGGTCTAATAGAAACACCTTTCAAAATCAGACCCGACTTCCACTGTCCACTTTTAACCTCCAACATCGAAAACTCAATCTTGCCGGAAAGATGTTCTGGTGATGTCATGAACTCACCGGCCGGAATCTCCACCCACCGGTTCCTTTCTAACAGATTCACATTCTCTCGCCGCTCTTTGGTTTCTCCGGTTGGCAAAACCAGTTTAAAGTTAACCCGAAAATCCCATCCTTTCGCAGAATCTATTATCTTAACCACAAACACAACCTCGTACAAACTGTTGGAATTTAGTTTCTCCGTTTCAAAGTTTCCGACCACTTCTAACCAAGCTACTCGTTCCATCTTTGCAACCTCAGTTCTTATATCACAGAAAACAAATATGCAGATTTCAATGAAGTCTAAGAAACTTAATTTGAAAACATTACAATTTTTTCTATTATACAATTCAAACCTGGATGTTTGGTCAAGATCAGAGAACCAACTCCAATGTTTATTTGTCTGAGACTCTGCCCATGTAATTGAGAGATCTCTCGCGTACAACATGAAACAGTTTTTCTTCGCTTTAACCTCATCTTCCTCTATCAAGTTCTTCTGAATAAGTTGTAATAAAAGAAAGAAGTTCTTCTGAATAAGAAATTACATCATCAATAAAATATAACAACTGCACTCTTATTAGTTATTAGTATCATATATAAAAAGGTGAGGAAAGTTAGAAAATGAAACCTAAGAAAAAAGATTTACGACCTCTGTCTTGTGCTTCAAGGAAACGTCATCGTCGACCTGAGGAGACGACGTCGTATCAAGAGAAAGAGGAGAGTCTGCATGTTTTTGTATGTCTTCGTTGTTGTTATTATGTGGCTTTGGCTTTGAGAAGATCGACCATATTATTCCCATTTCTTGATTATTTTTGTGGTTTCCTTATATGTTTTCTTCTTATTTTATAGATAATTTCTTTTCTTGCTAGCTATTGTATTAAGGTCTTTATAGAGGAATTACATGATTCCTTATACATTTATACCTTGCCCGACCTGAATGTTCCGTATAACTAAATTAATCATTCGATTAAGTTTTTTTTTTTTTTGACAGCGATTAAGTTATTTCTTATCTGATGATATATCCGAATTTTGTCCAAATCCAAATAAGTTTTATACAAATTTTCTAAATTATGTCCAAGTATCCAAAAATAGTTGAACTACCTAGACTTGTACCCAACCTCTTGACTCTTGAGCTCTTGACTATATATAGCAGACTTCTTCGTTAGTGTATTTGTGTAAGGATCAAAATTAAGGATACATAAATTAAACAATGGTATACATCGTTCTTCTACCAAAAAATAAAAACAATGGTTTACACCGCAAACCAAATTTTGATTGGAATATATTCCATTTTCTTTTACGTCTTGTTAAACATGTTTGATTCTTTATTCTTTTTTTTTTTGGGCAAACTTTTGATTCTTTATTCTTTTCATTGATATGTTAGCTTTATTCTTCCATTTTCTCCACGAAAATGGAATACTCTTTAAAAAAAGTGAACCTGATCCACGCATATAGACTGTTCGTTCATATCCCTTTAAGATTATTATCTATCAGAAATGCCAATTAATTGAGAGATTATGTGGATATTTTACACTTGTTTATGCCAATTAATGTTTATGGGTTTTGATAGGATCTATCTAACTAGTTTAAAGTACATAAAAATCTTTTTACTTTTTACTTTTTTTTTTCCAAAAAAATTCATGTCAACTCGTTAAAAGTTAAACCATTGTAAATGAATTGGTTTTCCCTTTACTGACCAACAATAACATTCTTTTCATTAATTAGAAATTTAGAACAAAAGAAGCTGTACATACGAATTTCTTTACACATTAAGATTATGTCTCTCGAATCAAATAGCAGAAATGAAGCTCGTCTGTCCAACATATAAAATGAAAGATTCAGTTTTGTATCTAAGAACATACGGGCCGGAGGATTAATAATGTTTCCAATCTCTGATCAAATATTTTTATTTAAATAATTTTCAGCTCTTAAACAGATGCGACACGAACACATTCTCTAATCTTATAATCAATGTTTTGACTTTTAACTTAGTTACCAAAACGAACATCCACAAAGAAGCACAAACGACAATATTTGAATGTATGGAACTAGTTTCTAACGACCCTCAAGAGGATACATGAAAGAAATGTTTCTTCTACTCCGAAATATAATCTAAAAACCCTCTAATTGGCATCAATGATTTGGCATTACCTGAATTTACATATGCAATAAGATCCATGACTAATGTAAATAAACCCTCTACATTTTTCAGCACTTTACTCCTCTGGATGCATTCACAAGGGAGAAGTCAGCTTACTGTTTGAGGATACAAACAATATCACATTCTTAGCGTTAACGAAGATGCATCGTAACTAACGTAGCCGATGGCGCGCGTCCGAATCTTGAACGAAACTGAAGATAAGTCTCATGTAATGGAGCCGTTGACATTATTGCGTGGACCATTTTTAAAAAACTCAACTCATAGCATAAAAAGGCTTTTCTTAATTTTACATACAAATATTAATCAACAAATCAGTATATGGATTTTTTGTTGGCTTATGATTAAAACACAAAGGCGGATGATTTTCGTGTCTATATTTTCTTATGGTCTCATTCTTTATAAGTTTCTTTTGATAAGATCATATATTAAGTACATACACTCAGAATTTAAACTTCAAACATTATTACATCATCAACACTCGTTTTGAATTTATTCAACACCAACATCAAAGTTGTTATTTAAACTAATAAGACGATAGATATGATCAACCTTATTATACACATATAAACACATGACATGATGTGAAACACATGTAGAGAAGGTCCATTGGTGCATATGGATATTTATATGTTTTTATATGCCATATTGATTATTACTGTTTGGGACGAATTGCAACACCTTTGAGGGAGAGCCCTTTTTTCCAAACACCAGCCTCATGCTCATACATTGAGAAAGTGATATCTCCGGCAGCAGATTTCTCCGGTACGAACTCGCCGACTCTGACATCGACCCATTTATACCTTGGAAGTTCCCTCAAACTCACCTTTTGCTCCTGCGGTTGTTCCTTACCGTTAGGCAATACTAGCTTTAGGTTCACCGGCGTGTCCCATCCATAGGCCGGATCCTCTAGCTTCACCTTAAAGACCACCTCGTAAGCAATCCCCGGAGTGAGGTTCCTCGTGTCGAATTTTCCCGTGATGTCAAGCCAACAAACGTTTTTCAATCCCACAGCTTCCACAGTCTCGCTTTAAAAAACAAAAGTTTGTCACTTTGCATGGGTCTAATACCTCCAATTTTGGTTACGAAAAGGAAAAAACAAAATTCCCGGTTCGTGTTAATAATTATTGCTATAATATACATACACAAACTTAAACGTCGTGTAACATCAATTTTGTCAAGGAAATTTTGATTCAAACTCAACTTTATTGTAAAATCAATAAATTCAAATTTGTAACGCAGATATTCATTTTGTGGTATAATATTCATAGTATGGGATTTAAATGAAACGTATCTTACTTTGGTGACTCTTTGTCGGTAAACCAAGTCCAATAGTTGACGTCATCAGACCAAGTGATAGAGAGGTTCTTTGCAAAGAGCATGAAGCAGTTGCTGTTTCTGTCGTCCACCCAATATTTGATCTGTTCAATATATATTATACGCAGATCACCAAAACATATTAAGAATGATTTTAGAATGATTTTAAGAATGATTTTAGAAACCGACATTTTCTGTTTGCAATCTTGTTTACATAAAGGTACCGTTGTGCTTAGTTATTTTCTGAAAATAGAAACACAAGTGAGCCAATTCTTTTTGAGGGAAAAAATTATTGACCTGTTTCGTGGGTTTCAAGAAAACACCAGACCGTAGTTTTTCAGAGCGATTAACAGAGGAGACAGAGATTGGAGGATCTGCGTCTCTGAGAATGGACTCACAGTTGTGTGGAGATTTCACTGGTGAAGCTTTCATCGGTAAAGCTGTCACCGGTGACGCTTCTTTTTGCACCGGGATCAAGTATTTCGATTCCTGGTTGCTAACCATCTTCTTTGTTGATAACTCTGAGCAAGGTTTCTTGCCCGTAAACCAGTGAAATGTACTTATTTTGATAAATTTGTTATCTAGATCAGTATATTCAACTTGATAAATAAATTCTACTAAATGCCTAGATATATAGCCCTAGGTAAAGGGGTTTGAAGAACTTATTCTATGATGTCATTTATCTTTTCTAAACGTTTAAATCATGAATAGAAAATCAAATTATTTCTTGACACTTGTGACATGATAATAGCCAACATAATACATGAAACTTAATCCTTAATTTTGCAACGAGCAGGTCGAGTCATTGATTATAAAATTCAATACCACATTATTATTGATTTGAGGATAAAAATTTAGAAAATTAATGAAATTCTTATGGACAATTCTAGTAAATAACTTATTTCATGATTTGCTTTCTAAAATTACAATTAAACTCTAAAAACACATAGGCTTTGAATGGTTGTCTAGTATGCTGCAGACCGGACTAAAATCGGACTAGTACGCACTTAATTTACCATTCACTATTGCTAGTGCATACTAAAAATCTCCATATTGGTATGCACTTGAGCATACAACTCCATACCATCATAAATTCACTGTTAGTCCGCATTTTTTCAGTCCACTCCCCAAAAGCTTCATACCATCATAAACTCCATACCAACATACAATTGTCTGTTCCAGACTACAGTATGATGTTTTGCATACTAAAATATTGGTATGCACTGTCCAGTCCGCATCATATGGAATAACCATTGAAAGCCCTGATCCAAAAACTTTAAATAATTTACTCTGATTTCATGTCAAGGAATGGTCCCTAACAAAAAGAATTTCAACATAGTCTTATTCTTGTTTCCACTAGAAAAGTTTTGGCAGTACCTATCTATCGTAATCCCAAACCCAATCAAATTCCATCCACTTCTGACTCTTCTCAAGAGCAAGAATATGTCCCTTCATTTTTTATACTTATTAAAAAAAAAAAGTGAGACAAAATGATTCGGTGCTTCGCGAGGACACCACTAATAGGTGCTCCCTTCATCTCCACCGTCCATTTCACATCTCCACCATCTATCCGAATCTTCGCATCTCGTTCTCCATCATCATCATCATCATCATCATCATCATCATCGACAGTTGCAGCATCTAGAAGATCAATAATATCTCTGTCAATTATCGCCGTCACGTCTTCCGTCGTCTCCTCCGTTTGCTTCACTTCTCCGGCACTAGCTGAATTCTCTGAAATCCCTAATTCCGGCGGAGTTAAAGCTCTCGACCTCCGAATCGGCGATGGTGAAGTCCCCATTGAAGGAGATCAGGTTTTGGTGTTTGTAATTGTAGATGTCAGCAAACAAACGAACCCTTTAATTCAATTTTGAAACTTTTTGGTTTTAGATTGAAATACATTACTATGGGAGATTGGCTGCGAAGCAAGGATGGAGATTTGATTCAACTTATGATCATAAAGACAGTAATGGTGAAGCTGTTCCTTTCACATTCGTCCTTGGTTCTAGCAAAGTATAAACCTTTATCTCTATCCCAATCATGTGTTACATAAACTCCAAGTTTTTGTGACATGGGTCTTGAAAAATTTATCTGAATTTGATTTAAAGGTGTGACCTTTGAAACATTTCCTCATTGATAGTGATGTAACAAACTAAGTGGTTTTTTAGGTGTTTGAAGTTGATAATACTTCTTCTCTGCCTCTATGATGATGTTTTGATCGCTGTTGTGTCATTGAAGAAAGCTGGATTGAGTTTGATGACTGAAAGATTGTGATGTGTAGGTAATTCCGGGGATTGAAACAGCCGTAAGGTCGATGAAAGTAGGCGGGATTCGTCGGGTGATTATACCTCCGTCTCAAGGATACCAGAATACATCACAAGAGCCTCTCCCACCAAACGTATGTGCACACACTCTGACCCTCTCTCCTTAACCTTTTCATATAATATCTCAATCTGAAAGTCAAATGTTATTTTAGAGTCCCACATGGATTAGCTTTGTGCCTAGCTAGTGCCTTAGTGCATCACACTCTTAAGCTAGTTTTGGTTTAGGCCTAGTACTCAAATAAACACACAAGTTGATTTGGTTTTTATAGTCTCCTCCTCCTCCTGTCCCTAAAACACCACTCACAAACCCAATTTCACCTCCTTTAATCTCACCTCCACTCATTAGTCATTACATACTACTTGTTTCTAAAAGACAACACTCACATCATTATTGCAGCCACTTGTTGTCCCTCATTCATTTTAAACCATACGTTATACTCAAAATTATTATCCATTTAAACAAAAAGATTCACACATGGTGATGATAAGAGTTCGTTAAGCTGCCAAATCAGCCTGTGTATAATGATTGGGATAAAATCAATTAGGAGGGGCCAGGGGGTATCAAGTGATGAAGGGCTTGCTTTTTTTGGGCATGAGAGAGTTTGGCATGCTATATCATTCACCCTAGGACTCTATATTGAATCTTTGGTTGGTTCCCTCTTTGGTTCTCTGTCTTGTACTTTAAGAGTGAAATAAAAGCAGAGAATTTCATATCTTGATAAGTCTCTGGAATTAGTTTCATAGTAATCTTCATAAGGTCTTTGTGTTACGTCATGTTCAGTGGTCAATGGGACTTGAACTAGTATAGATCTGTTTAATGTGAAAGTTTTAGAGAACCAATCATGTTATTAAGATTGTTTGCAGAAACATAAAGTACCAAGATTGATTTCAAAATTCTTTGTTTGTTTGTTGTGGTTTGCAGTTCTTTGACAGACAGAGACTCTTCACGACTATCTTTAACCCAACACGTCTCGCCAATGGAGAAGGTTCTACTCTTGGAACTCTTGTTTTTGACATCGAACTTGTCAGCACCAGACGCCTTCACCGATAAGTCATATTGTCCTAGTACTTTTGTTTAAGTGAATAGAAATTTCAACTTTAGATATAAATGAAGTTGATCATTTGTCTGTCACTTGGCTCCCTGCTTTGCATTCGTATTACACTTGTGTGTAGAGAAAAATGGTTGCTAAATAATAGACAACGAAACGTTGCTCTTTTTTTTTCACAGTAACTCAAAACAATGTCTTCCACAAAACTCATCTCGTTCATCATAATGATTGGCATGATGATTGGACAACACTTGGCCCACTGATAGAGATTTCGGGCCGAATGGACCTAGAGTAACAGGAATTCAAATTATGGCTATGGTCTCTCAAGCTTGTGTGGATGGATCATAGATATTACCTCGGGAAGATATCCGAGTCCTTGCCTCTTGAGAGCTTGCTTGCCTATTAATACTCCTTCTAATTCTCAGGATTCAGATTATTTCTTATGGAGGAACACATACTCAGGGACAGTTATTTTCTTCAGCTAATACATGGGATTTACTAAACCCTTCACCTCCTCCGTTCTTTTGGTGTAAAATGGTGTGGTTTAAGGATCACATTCCGAAGCATGCTTTCATACGCTGGATCATTATGCGTGATAGGCTTACTACAAGGGATTGTCTTCACAGTTGGGGGTTGAACGTTCCAAGCGATTGTCTTCTATGTGCGGCGACTTCTGGAAGTAAAGAGCACCTCTTCTTTGCATTCCTTCTTCTCTCATTCAGATTTATCACCTCCGGCTTCCTTTGGCGATATCGTTGTTGCTTGGGTTAGAAACGCCTCTTCCATTAAAAAGTTAAAGTCAGTATGCAAGTTAATCTTTCAAGCTGTGGTCTATTGCCTATGGAGGGAAAGAAATTCGAGACTTCATACTGCGGTCTTGAAGCAAGCTCTAGTTATAATCAAGGATGTTCAGTTACTGTGGAGGGCTAAATTGGCTGGTTTGGACCGACCTTTTCAACTTAATACTGTCGGCCTTTACTCTGCTTATTCTTCCTTGCAACACCAAAGTTATCATTCCTGCTGGTTTGGTTATATACATAGGTGATTCTTGGGTGCCTTTGCTTTCAGATTTACTATCAGGCCATCAATTCTCGTTATGCTTCAAGAAATGCATCATTTCAGGATTCTATGTTTCTCTTGCTTCACATAAGTTTCGGTTTAAGGTGAATTTTTTTTTTTTTGTATTGTAATGTTTCAAGGATGTCCCTTTCGGGAAAGAAAATGAATGTATTACATTTATATATATAATAAAGGTCAAAATAGATAACAAAGCGATGAAGGTTTATAGTTCGACGTTGGTCCAGAACTACTGTTACGCCTGGAAGACTTGGATTGGTTACAATGAAAATCAGAGTATTGTTACGAAAGTGAGATACGCTAAGCAAAAGGGTCTACCTGAGAAATAACCGTCTATCTCGTGCAGGTTCAATTTTATCCCAATTCTAAATAAGTAAAAATATTCGTTACATTTATTGGGATTCTCGGTCTAGGTAAAACCGATCGGTTTGGCTTACCGAATCAAACTAAACTGAATACCGAAATCCAAATTAATTTTGCCGATGGATTTAGACACCAACTGCAGTAAAACCTCTATATCAATTGGGAATACGTTATTTTATTAATTTATAAAGTTATTAATTTATTAGCTAGTCCAAAACTATTGCGGAACTGATGATATATATTGATTTAACGAAGTATTAACTTATCGAGTATTAAAAATTTTGGTTCTTGGTTCGGTTTATTCCATTAGCCCAAGGCTAGTGTATTCATTGAATTAACCAAAATTCATTGATGAAACTTTTAGTTTAATTGGTAAAGGAATACATTTACATACTCCCTCCGTTTCAAAATATAAGTCGTTTTAGATAAATACACGCAGATTAAGAAGATCTACTTTTTAAAAGTTCAGCCAATCATAAAAGACACTGCATAATATAAATAATCATAAAATATTAAAATAATATATAATTTGTATTGAAACTCGAAAACGACTTATATTGTGAAACAAAATACTTTATCCAAAACGCCTTATATTATGAAACGGAGGGAGAATTACTTAAATCTATCATATTTCTTTATTAATTTTATTCTTGTTATAACTTTTTATCCAAAATAGTACTGAATCTGAACCAAAAAAAAAAATCAAACCAAACCAACACAAAATTTAGTTCTATACGTAGCCTAATCTGCAAAATTTGAAACTCCAAAAATAAAAGCTCTTATTTATAAATGATGTGTTATTACCTTTCAAGTTTACTTAGTTTGTGATGATCAGACTTGGGGTTAAATTTATTTTTTCACTGCTCAAATACAGCTACTTGCTTTACTGAAATTGAGAAGACGAAGGGGAAATGTTATTTCGTCCAAAATCAATTCGTCCCTCTCTGATTTTAGGGCTCAAACAAACGGAAGGATGATGTTGGGTCGACTGATTGCTGCAACTACTACGAGGAGATGCTCTCCTCTTTCCGTTAGCTTTGTCAAGCAAATTCAAAACCAATGATGTCTAAGCATGGATAGCGAGAAAATGAAGATGATGAAGGCTGTTGGAACAAACACACATGCTGCAATTGCTGGGTTCAATGAGATTTGTTTTTGTCCTAATCCGGGTACCAGAGATCTAAATGAATTTTTGATTGGGCTTGTGAGATCAAAACATTATGAATTGGTCTTATCTTTATGCAGCAGAACACACATGCAATCGATTATTTTGCCTGATTTGGTCACTTGGAATATTCTGGTCAATTGTTTCTCTAAATGTGGTCGTTTTAGTCATGCCTTGTGTATCATGGGAAAGATGATGAAACTGAGATTTCAGCCTAATGCAGCAACGTATGGACCTATTGTGAAAGGTGCTTGTGACTCTATGGATGTTGTAGTTGCATTGGATGTCCTGAAACAGATGTAAGAAGAGCGTATTACGATTGATGCAAAAAGGTATAACATGGTCATTAAAACTTTTTGCAAACAGGTTAGGCAACCCGAAGCATTTAAATTGTTCAACGAAATGCATAGCAAACGGATACAACCAGATATATATACCTTCAATTCGCTTATCAGAGGCCTATGCAGAGCAAATAGATTAGCTAAGAGTGAGGAGATGATGCATGAAATGCTGAGAATAGGTGTTTCTCCTTATGTTGTCACTTATAGTGGTGTCCTTAATGGATATGCTAAAAGAGGACTAACCCAACCTGCTGAAGAGATGTCAGCGAAATGGTTAGAAGGAGTGTTGCTCTGGATGTGAGGTGCTGCAACAGCTTCATTGAAACTTACTGTTACAATAGTAACAACTTGGATGAAGTAGCCAAGACATTCCATACTATGACATGTTGTCCTAACTCAACTACTTTCAACATACTCATTCAAGAATATCTGAAAGGTGGAAAGAGCAACAAAGCTATTGAGCTTTTGTCTAGAATGCACCATCAATGAGAAATTGTTGGCACTATAACTTTAACTTACATTATTCTCTTGGATGAGTTCTACACGAAAAAAGACATGAAGACTGTTCATAAGCTAATAAAAAACATGTCTACATATGGGTTGATGCAGGATATTGGCACTTACAGAATTATGCTCAGTGGGTTATGCAACAATCAAATGCATCTAGAGGCGCTAAAGCTCTTCGACAGTTTGATGAACACTGAAATGTGTTTTGACAAGGAGTTACATACCATAATGATTGAGGGGTCATTCAAGTTCAAGAAGATCAAAGAGGCATGTGCACTATTCCTTACTTTACCGATGAAAGGAGTGCAAATTGATTTGCACTATGGGTTATGCAAAAGAAGTATGATTGCAAAAGCTGAAATGGTGGTTTCAAAGCTAATTCAAGGTGACTACTCCTCCAGACAGATGCCCCTACAACCCTTGGATTAGATCATATCTAAGAGAAGGAAACATATCTACAACAAGAAAGCTCATAAAACAAATGAGAAACAGTGGGTTTCTTGCAGAAGAACATACAAGGTTGATGACAACGAGGATGGAGTCAAAAGGTAAGTTGCTGGGAGATGACTTCTCAAGGTTGATTGATTGAGGAATTCACATAAATAAAGTAGTACACAAGATTGGTCATTATTCATTACATACTAGTTGTTCCTAAAAGACCATATTCACATCATTATTCCAGCCACTTGTTGTCCCTCGTTCATATTAAACCATACGTTATACTCAAAAGTATTATCCATTTAAACAAAAAGATTCACAAATGTAGAAGATAAGAGTTCGTCGAGCTGCCAAATCAGCATGTAATGATTTGGATCAAATCAATTAGGAGGGGCCAGGGGGTATCAAGTGATTGGGATTGCCTTTTTGGGCATGGGAGAGTTTGGCATGCTATAACATTCACCCTAGGACTCTGTATTGATTATTTGGTTGGTTTCCTCTTTGGTTCTCTGTTTTGTACTTGAAGAGTGAGATACAAGCAGCTTAGAATTTCATATCTTGATAAGTCTCTGGAATTGGTTTCATAGAATTTAATCTTCATAAGGTCTTTAGTTACGTCATGTTCAGTGGCCAGTGGGACTTCAACTAGTCTTAGTCTTTTAAATGTGAAAGTTTTAGAGAACCAATCATATTATTAAGATTGTTTGCAGAAACATATAGTACCAAGATTGGTTTCAAAATTCTTTGTTTGTTTCTTGTTGTGGTTTGCAGTTCTTTGACAGACAGAGACTCTTCACGACTATCTTTAACCCCACACGTCGCGCCAATGGAGAAGGTTCTACTCTCGGTACTCTCGTTTTTGACATCGAACTTGTCAGCACCAGACGCCTTCACCAATGAGTTATATTGTCCTAGTACTCATTGATTTCTTGTTAATCAAGAAATCCAAATAGAAAAAAATATCGTGAGCATTTGGATATATATTTTTTTTTGGTACAAAGCATTTGGATATTTAACAAGAAATCCAAATAGAAAAAAAAATATGTCATGAGCATTTGGATATTCTTTAGTATAAGTGAATAGAAATTTCAACATTAGATATAAATGAAGTTGATCATGTGTCACTTGGTCTGTTGGTCCCTGTTTTCGCATTCATATTACATTTTTGTGTAGAAAAAATAATGGTTGATAATAATAGACAACGAAACCACGCTCGTTTTTGTCACAGTAACTCAAACAATGTCATCCACAAAACTCATCATCTCCATCCCTTTCTTCTTATCTCTCCTCCTAAGATTCTCCTCCGCCCAATCCTTCGTGAAAGCTACGTACTGGTTTGCGGAGAGTGAATCTCCGGTCGCGGACATTGACTCATCTCTCTTCACTCACCTATTTTGCGCTTTCGCTGACATCAACACTCTAACATATCAAGTCATTGTCTCCTCCAGGAACAAACCCAAATTCTCCACCTTTACACAAACCGTCCAACGGAGAAACCCTACCGTGAGAACCCTTTTGTCTATCGGCGGTGATTTCACATATAATTTCGCGTTTGCGTCTATGGCAAGTAACCCCACCTCTAGAAAATTGTTCATTGGTTCTTCTATAAGGCTCGCTAGATCGTATGGATTCCACGGTCTCAATCTATATTGGAAGTACCCGAGCACTACGGCAGAGATGGACGATTTCGGGAAGCTACTTCAAGAATGGCGATTGGCGGTTATAGCAGAGGCTAGAAGCAGCGGTAAACCGCGTTTGCTTTTGACGGCTGCGGTTTTCTACTCCTATAGCTACTATTCGGTACTGCACCCGGTTCAAGCCGTTGCCGATAGCTTGGATTGGGTTAATCTTGTTGCCTATGATTTTTACGATTCGGGTTCGTCTAGAGTAACTTGCTCACCAGCTCCTCTCTACGATTTTATAACCGCAGGTACAAAAAAATTACCGAACTAAGCTAAGATAAAGTCATAAAACCGATACATAACCTAATATATAGATATAGGTCCAAGCTGCGACGCCGGAGTGAGAGCGTGGACTCAAGCTGGACTTCCGTCGAAGAAAGCAGTCTTGGGATTTCCATTCTACGGCTACGCATGGTGTCTAACAGACGCCAAGAATCATAACTACTATTCGAATAGCAGCGGACCAGCGATATCACCTGACGGTTCCATCGGATACAATAAGATAAGAAGGTTCATAGTGGATAATAAAGCAACGACGGTTTATAATTTGACGTTGGTCCAGAATTACTGTTACGCTAGGAAGACTTGGATTGGTTACGATGATAATCAGAGTATTGTTACGAAAGTGAGATACGCTAAGCAGAGAGGTCTACTTGGTTATTTCTCGTGGCACGTTGGAGCTGACGATAATTCTCTTCTATCTCGTGCAGGTTCGGTTTTATCCCAATTCTAAATAAGTAAAGTATTCGTTACTTTTCTTATGAGAAACGATAAGGTAATGTTTTTTTATGATTTATTTTGGGATTTTGGGGATTTTTACAGCGTCACAGGCATGGGATGCTAAGGCAGCAACCACGATAATCCTACAGTATCACGATTGTTAAAGAAACATATATTATCAAAATTGGTAAATTCTTTTTTTGTTTTGTTTTTTTCTGGCAGTTCTCTGTAGACAGAGACTCTCCACAACCATCTTTAACCCAACACGTCTCTCCAATGGAGAAAGTTCTACTCTTGGAACCCTAGTTTTTCCACATGGATAACTTGGCACCACCAGACGCTTTCACTAATGAGCCGTTGGTTACTTGTTAGACAGGAAATCATTTAATATATGGATATAAACAAAATCTTTCGTAAGCTTTTGGAATATTCTATAGGAAACGTGAGAAGAAAATTCAACTTTGATATAAATGTAGTTGATTATGTGTCTCTTGGTCCTTTCTTTCGCATTCATATTACACTTATGTGTTGACAAAAATGCAAACAGTGTCCCACTTAAGACTTTTCGCTTTCGTAAGATATTATTCATAGTAGATTTCTCATTTTTCAAAGTTGAATTACGTAAGAAATCAAATCTACTTTTTCAATAAATAGACAACAAACCATCTCTGTTTTTCACAGCAACTCGAAAATGTCTTCAACAAAACTCATCTCGCTCATTGTCTCCATAACATTCTTCCTCTCTCTCCCATCCTCCTCGGCACAAACTGTCGTAAAAGCTTCGTACTGGTTCCCGGCGAGTGAATTTCCGGTTACCGACATTGACTCATCTCTCTTCACTCATCTCTTTTGCGCTTTCGCTGATCTCAACTCTCAAACCAATCAAGTCACTGTCGCCTCCGCGAACCAACCTAAATTCTCAACCTTTACACAAACTGTCCAACGCAGAAACCCTTCTGTTAAAACCCTTTTGTCTATCGGCGGTGGAATAGCAGATAAAACCGCGTATGCTTCTATGGCAAGTAACCCCACTTCTCGAAAATCGTTCATTGATTCTTCGATAAGACTCGCTAGATCATATGGATTCCACGGTCTTGATCTAGACTGGGAGTATCCGAGCAGCGCGACGGAGATGACCAACTTCGGGACACTACTTCGAGAATGGCGATCAGCTGTTGTAGCCGAAGCTAGTAGCAGCGGTAAACCGCGTTTGCTTTTGGCAGCTGCGGTTTTCTACTCCAACAATTACTATTCGGTACTGTACCCGGTTCAATCCGTTGCTAGCAGCCTGGATTGGGTTAATCTTATGGCCTATGATTTTTACGGACCGGGTTGGTCCAGAGTGACCGGTCCACCAGCCGCTCTGTTTGATCCTTCAAACGCAGGTACAACATTATATGAACTAAACCAATTAAAACCGATACATAAAACCAATTTTTTTCGTTAAAATCAGTCCCCAACTTTATTGTTTCACGAATCTTGACGAAGTAGATATATAATTAGTATAGTTACAGTTAGTGTAATTTATCAATATAAAATTTTGATAAATTTCAGTTTTTTTCCGGTTTTGCTTGGTTTAGCTGCACTAAATTTGGTTTTGTTTTAGCATAAAAACGTATTACCTATTAAGCTTTTAAATTCTTCGGTTCAAATTCGGTATGAAATTTTTTGTTCGGTTTATAAATTTCAACATTAAATAAAACGATATCTCGCCAAGGTTTGAACCGGAAATATCAGCCCGGTTTTGTTTAATTATTAAACCCGGTTTGTGATAATAGGTCCAAGCGGAGACGCGGGAGCAAGGTCATGGATTCAAGCTGGACTTCCGGCGAAGAAAGCAGTCTTGGGATTTCCATACTACGGCTACGCGTGGCGTCTCACAAACGCCAACAGTCACAGCTACTACGCGCCTACCACCGGAGCTGCGATATCACCGGATGGTTCGATAGGTTACGGTCAGATAAGGAAGTTTATAGTAGATAACGGAGCAACAACGGTTTATAACTCTACGGTGGTCGGAGATTATTGTTACTCCGGCACAACTTGGATTGGTTATGACGATAATCAGAGTATTGTGACGAAAGTTAGATACGCTAAGCAGAGAGGTTTGCTTGGTTACTTCTCGTGGCATGTTGGCGCTGATGATAATTCTGGTTTATCTCGTGCAGGTTTGATTTAGTACCAAATTTCTAAATATTATTTATTTTTATGTGAATTAAAAAGGTAATGTTTTGACGACCTTTTTTTGTTTTGTGTGGGATTTTACAGCTTCACAGACATGGGATGCTACGACGGCAACCACCAGAACTATACAGAAGGTTTAAGCTATCCACAGTTTCGACAACGGCAAGTGAAGAAGTCTTTTTTTGTAACTATACAAAAAATAAATGTTATGTGCTTATACTGTAATGTCAAAAAAAAAAAGGGGAATAATAAGATATTAAGATAATAAAGGCAAGAACCATAAGTTTATCAATCATAATGCTTCCTTTATAGAAATAAGAATTCAAATCAAATCCAAGACTCCTTTCTATTGTACAGTACATGTTTTCATACAAGTTTAACTACGACCTAAGTAGTCTATGGACTATGATTCGTTGCTGAATCTCGTTGATAAAGGAAAGCTGGAAATATGAAACTTAAGCCACTGTTGGACCGATCGGACTAGACGGATCAAGTCGGGTTTTAAAAACACTATCTTAAATGTTACAACCACATTCTAGTTTAGGAAATTATATATTACATTCAATGAATATAATAGTAGTGTGTGTTTCCTGTTACATTTATTTTTCCACAATATAGAAAGTTGGTTTGCAACCCCATCCTTAATGCCTAAGACACAAAGTTGAGTGGAAATAAATACTATATTGTTGACCATAAGCTTGATGGCCATGGCCCTATGTATGGACGACGGTCAAACTTCTCAATTAACCAAAAAAAATAAAAATGAGTTGAAAGCTACAAGACCACAAATAGTAATGCTTACATTTAATGACTTAAATTTCCATAATAATAAATTGAATAGAGAGTAGAAATGTTCAAGTTTATTAACCATAATAATTAGACCAAACATGTTTTTACTGTATATATAAAATAGTAACAAGTTTTCCATAATCATAAATTGAATTGAGAGTAGAAATCTACAAGTTTATTAGTTAACAAAATGCAAGACTACTTGCTATTGTATTTTACATGTTTCCACAGAACATTAATTTTACGGTGACAAAAAAAAAGAAAAAGGAATTGTGTTGGTAAACAAGATAAGATAATTATGTGTTGCAATTTTCCGGGTTACACCCTCTTGTCAATCGGTGGCGGGAGTGCTAACAAAGACGCGTTTGCATCCATGGCAAGTAACCCCAACTCCAGGAGATCGTTCATTCAATCGACAATCACCGTTGCTAGGTCGTACGGCTTCCATGGCCTCGACCTAGACTGGGATTACCCGAGAAACGCGAAAGAGATGAGCGATTTCGGGATGCTACTGCAAGAATGGCGATCGGCCGTTAAGGCCGAGTCCAGTAGCAGGGATACACCGGCTTTGATCTTGACCGCTGCGGTTTACTACTCCTGGAATTACCATGAGGTACCTGTACCCTGTTCTGGCCATTTCCAACAGCTTGGATTGGGTTAATCTTATGGCCTATGATTTTTTTGGACCGGGTTGGTCAACAGAATGATTTCAATTCATTACCTTATCACCAAAATGTAAATATCTTTTCTACTATGCATGTTTAGAAATTTACAAAATCAACCATATTAGAATGATTTCATGGATAACCTACTAAGATTTAATTTTAATATTACCCGACTGAATATAAATATGAGAAAAATATTTTGTAGTTTTTGTTGTTTTTTTTTTTGATATATTTTGTAGTTATATCAATAGAATTAGTTGAGAAATCTATATGTGGGCGACACGTTGTTTGAAGCTCACTTCTGGTGTTGATCATCGAGGTGGGTCTCTCCCTCTCTCTAGATATTGTTATGTGTTTTGTGTGGCTGTATAGCTTTGGTTTTGTAGTTGATGGTTTATTTTTACTTTTTTAGCAAGTTTAGGTTAAAACTTAGAAGCTGTGACTTAGTTATGGTTCTTTTGGCCATGTGAATGTTTGTTTAAACAAAACAGAAGTGGAGCAAGAGAAAGCAAAAGGAGAAACATATTTGTCGCATTATTTAGATATTCTAGTAGAAACGTTCCACATGATTCAGATCTTCGTTAACTTTGAATTCACGAGTATTAGTTAAACAATTGCTGCTTTGAATGCTCAGTTTATCTTATGATTCATTCTTGTGTTTTTCGTCGTTATTAATGTTATTCTGTGACCTTGTTATGGTCTAAATTGTTGGAAAATGTATTAGTAGGAGTAATTATGTCTTAGATATGCAATGAGAGGCAGAAGTCACGAGTTGTGCCGTCCATATATGCAGAAGTGTTGTTAAATCTTATGCAGATCAATGTACAAAGTATCAATTTTATTTGGACCGAGCTACAGCAACAAGATTATTGATTTAACACCTGCTTCACGTGAGCTACATTAAGCTATATCCATTTTTTCGTTTAGTTTCTTTGGAAGTCTATGGCTTTTGTCTAATGGAAAAATCATAGGGTTTGATTAATATTAAGACAAAAAGTTATCTTTGTAAATTCTTATTATTATTAATGTTATTGATTATTTTTATTTTGTAAACTAAAATTAGTACTTTTGGATTTAAGAATTTAACATTCAAAATTCACCCAAACAAAGAGATATTGATTCTGACTCTCCCAATTAAGGACGGAAAGTGCTGGTAGTGGTACCTGTTGGCCCAACCAAGAAAAAAGAGATGGAAATTTTGGGTATAACATTAGTAACGAAATCGAAGTGATATTGTATAATATACGATTGGAGATAGAAAAACACTATATATTGTAAATGTATGATAGCAGTATAAACAATCTGCTATCAAAAATGGTAAATCTATTATCACGGTTGATGTCAGAATATATTTTTTTTTTTTTGACAGCGTCAGAATATTTTTCTTAGCGCTATCAAATCGTTAGATAACATATATATTCATAGAACATGGTGTGATTGAAAGGTACATAATTCATGTCTACCTAAGTTTAATATTAGTATATTTTTGTTTTGTAATGTGAATCAATTAATAATTAGATTATCTTTTTATAATATTTTGATCGACAAATCTGACATATTATAGAACGTGATAATGTAAATAATTGCAACTAAAATCAGGTGAAAAGGTGGAGAAGGGGATATTATTGATGTTTATATAATTATATCTACTATTGATGTCTGGCCTAAACAAATTATTCATACGTATATGGACTAATAAACAACCCATTCTTTTTTTTTTTTTTTTGGTTTCTAACTATTCTTTTTGGCAGCTACTAAGGGCTTGATTGGTTCTCCCGCTAGCACCCTCCTAGCGGTTGCTAGCGGTCGGTTGCGGTTGTTAGCGGTTGATACCAATCATAGAAACCGCTCCGTCCCGCTTCGAACCGCTCGAAATCGTTGAATTTCAAAAGCTCCTTCCCGCAAGCGTTTGCGGTTGCGGGCGGTAGCGGTTGGATTTAAAAAAAAAAAAAAAAAAATCAAACATTTACTTATAATTATTATAATATATATTAATCCTATATATATCTTTCATATTTGTATCACTTTGTATCACGTTCTCATCAGAAACCCTAATAATATTCTGAAACTCTATTCTCTCAATGTCTTCCACCCAAACTGATGAAAATCAATAACCAAATGTAAGTATCATATATCTTTTTATTCATTCATCACCTCATGTGTAACTTTTTGAATATTTTTCATGGCATCGTTTTTTTAATTTTTATTACGTATTGCTTTGCTTTTTGATTGAATATATGTTTCGATTTGTTTTCTCGAATAGAAACTCACTTGCTTTTTGATTGAATTCAACGTTATTTACAGTTTGTCCCATTACTTAATGCAATTTTTTATGTTAAACCAGATGCATAAAGTACTATCTTGTTACAAAATTTCTTTATTTTTGAATAATTATTTAGTACTTTATTTATGGTTTTAATTATTAAGCATGTTCAAATTTTTCTAATATTATCATAATAATATATTGGTGTTTTTATTTCTTTTTTTTTTTGTAATATTTTTTATTTATTTTGGTCATTTTTTTATTTAACTGCTATCGCACCCGCTGGTTTACCAGTCATAAAACTCCCGCAAACGCACTCATTTTCAAAAGTTAAACCAGTCGTTCAAAACGCTTGATAACGCTTAAAGCCGCAACCGCCCGCTTCCGCAAACTCCCGCAACCGCAACCGCAACCGCTGCGTTTAAACCAGTCAGGCCCTAAGTTTCACATTGGACAAGCTATGATATAAAAAGTGGCCCGTTTGATATAAATTATATGGTAATACTAATAACTAAAATATGAAAATGTCTTTTATTGGAAAATTATGATCATGGCTGGTTTTGTATTCTTATTTTCGTTAATCATTTAACATATTCAATGCCCATCATTTAATGCCAATATTAATTATTGAAATATGAACCACTACTTGTTAGATCTACGTTTACAGAAAAATTGTTAGATATATGGACTATAACCCAGTCTTTTATTTATATTTTCCTAACCGTAGACTATTTTCTTATCAATTACTATTAATTTCATGTTGGAGAAGCCATCTTATAAAAAATCCCACATTTATTTACGTCAACTTTGATAAAAAAAAGTGTTTTTTTCTTCTAATGGTGTCACTCACATCATTATAATAAATTATGAAATTCGATAATTTGTTTGTTATATTGGTATACCAGTTCTGAAATTTTTTTACTCCCTCCGTTTCGTTTTAGTTGTCGTTTAAGGTTTTTTCACACAAATTAAGAAAAACATTAAATTTTATGTTTTACCCTTCAATAATATATTTTATAAAAAAATTCATTGGCCAAAACATTAAAACAATAGGGATAAAACTAGAATTTTCACCAAACATTTGCATTGAAAACCTAAAACGACAACTATTATGAAACAAAATTTAAATCCTAAAACGACAATTAAACTGAAATGGAGGGAGTATTATTTTTCTTGTTTTTTCTAAAATAAATGGATTATATGAAAAATAGATATGTAATACTCCCTTTGTTTCTAAAAAATTGCGTTTTTAGCTTTTTATTTTCTTCTACAAATACTAAGTTTCTAGCTTTTTTATTTTTTATTGATTGATATTAATGTATTGAAACTTCAAGATGCAATGAATGAAAATAGTTAGTTTTATTATATTACTATTGGTTCACAATAACAACAAAGTGTTTAATAAAAAAAATTATGCAAATATAAAAATTTTAGTATATAAGAAAACTCTAAAAAAGCATTCTTTTAACAACATAGGAAGTAGATGTTAAGCCATGATATATCATATCATATAATTAAGAATTATCAAACTTATATCATATCATATAATTAAGAATTATCAAACTTATGTATACGCAAAGCACAATTTTACCGGGTTTTTTTTCTTCTTATCAACCATAAATTTATCCCCTTTTTCCTTATGTTGATTAATCGTTCAACATATTTGGTATTAAACCAATTTTGTTTTTTTTTAAAAAAATTATATAAAAATGTTTAATAAATATATTTGATTACCTTTAATCACCAAAATGTAATACCTTCTCTACTATGCATGTTGATGAAATTCCACAATCAATCATATTAGAAGGATTTCACTGATAATCTTCTAAGATTTAATTTTAATATTACGGAATGAAGATATATATGGAAAAAGTATATTTTGTAGTTATTAATAGAACTAGTTGACAAATATCCAAGTCTCTAAATAACGAATGAAATCCACAAACTTAGAACATGTATTCATAGAACATGGTGATCAAAAGGCACAGAATTCATGTCTACCTAAGTTTAATATCATTAGATTTTTATTTTGTTGTATGAACCAATCATTAATGAAAACCATTTTTCAAAAAACCTATATGCATACACAACTACTATATATTCCAACCTAATGAAGTACGTACCTCTAATAAGATACACATCCATTAAATTCTTAGATCAATACATCATTGAATAAATATTACTCGACCAACATACTAATAGATAGACACATTGTCTCTTCATCTTTATGTTCCGAAGTTTTTCGGACAGTCAAGACTCGAATTTTCTTTGTAAAAACAGTTTATATGTTCGTTTGCGCTTCTATAAGTTTGATCAGTAATGTTGAAATAAACCAAACATGTACGTTTCCAAAATAATAAATTTAATTAAGAGTTGAAATTTTTTAAGTTAATTATAAGGGTTTTCTGAACTAATATCTTTAAAGTTTTTAAAAACAGAAACGTTACAATGATCAATTATGTATATCTTTATAAATCGGTCATCTACTTTCACTAGTAAATGAAACCACTAGCTAAAACTATATACATATAGACCCCCCAAACAGGCTAATAAAATACCTATAGACTTTATCAATAAACTTTTAGAAATATAGAAGTGCCAAAAACATGTTAGATCTGTACCTTAACTCACTAATCAAAAACTGGTTTTAGAATTATCCAGACCCATAGAAGATGGAAACTTTTAATTAGAAAATCAATTTCATAACAGATGTTTGAATATGCGTTTTTTATTTATAAATAAATAACGCAAGCCATATTGGTAGAATCTCTTAAACTGGTATCAATCCATTGAAGAACGACACTTATTTAGTTTTACTTTGGAACTCTCATCTTCGACGTTGAACTTGTCAGGAACTAACAAAAAAA